AGATTTTCATGGCAGAATCATTACCTAAGGTTCCAGCTTTCAACCAGAAGCACAAGCTCTCTGCTTATATTCAATTATTCCCCATTTGAGCAGAAAAAAAAAAAACCACAACAGGTCAATGCCTATGCCTATTTTGAAGAAAGACAGTAGAAGGGATATGCAATTTGGAAAGGTTATAAGCAAACATGCAGCAGGAAAAAAAAAGATATTTCCCCAATTATAATGAGGGAAATATCATAAATAGACAAAGAAAGAGGGTGTGCATTCATCTGACTGTGATAAAAACACAGTGTCAGTGAGAGAATTCATAAGGGCTGGACCAACATCTGGTTTCGACATGCTTTCCCCCTGCAGAGGAACTCTGAGGAATGGGTTGGAGGAGCTTTCTGAGGGAAGGAGGGAGGAGTGGGTAATATAACAGCTGGATTGCATATTGTGAAACGATAAGTGTATGGTTTATACATTTCAGACCCAACAATATACTATGCTTTGTAGTTGCTATTGTCAGAACAAACAAAATTTGGGGGACTAATGTATTGAAACAATCCTAGAAAATGTTGCATTAACACCTAATGCATCTATGTATTCTTTAATCAAAATGAAATAAATTGTTCAGCTTTGGTTGACATCACCAACATAGACATTGGAGAATGTCCAATTCAGAATAATGGTCATCCAATATTGTTTTTTTCCCTCTCAACTGATACTTAAAAGTCCCTGTGAACCGGATGTTGAAACTGACATTACTTCATTGTTGTGATGTATTTCCAAGTGAAACGTAATATGGGTTTTAAAGGAACACACCGACTTTTTGGGACTTTAGCTTATTCAGCGTATCCCCCAGAGTTAGAAAAGTCCATACCTTTTCCATCTCCGTGCTTGCTGTATCTGGCGCACCCACCGCTAGCTTAGCTTAGCACAAAGACTGGATTTAAATGGCTCCAGCTAGCATACCAATCCCAATAAGAGACAAAATAATGCAAACATTTTCCTATTTACATGTTGTGATTTGTATAGTCACAGAGTGTACTGTACAAATAACAAGGTCATTTGAGACAAAGCCATCTTTTAACCGTATAAATATTGGGAACTTCTCAGAAGGCGAAGCACTGCTACTTGGGCAGAGTTACAGCACACACGCAGATGAAAAAGGTATGTATGGACTTATCTAACTTTGGGGGATATGGTGAATAAGCTAAAGTCCCAAAAAGTCGGCATGTTCCTTTAAGGATATTCAACCAAAGGTGTCAAACTGACATCATCAGAAAAGGAACGTCATTCCAGACAGAGCGTAATTTTTTGGTCTGATTTTGATTAAAGATTACCACGACAAACACATTTTTTTCATATTAACTTGCACTGATAAATTGTTCACCACAAGACTAGTGATGTGTGATAAAAAAAAGTAAATAGGATCAATTTTGATTTCATGATGACATTTAGTCACCCTTAGTCTTATTTTGTTGCATCCTTGCCTCTAACTATACATTTCAATCAGTTCCACTGCATAAGATCAATATTATGGAAGCTTGTTTCCGCCATTGAGTTAAAATAATAATAATCATTGCGACTTTTTATCTCACAATTGTGAGATATGAAGTCACAATTCTGAGAAATAAAGTTGCAGTTGTGAGATATAAAGTCGCAATTGCGAGATATAAAGTCGCAATTAGGTGAAATTAAGTTGCAATTGCGAGAAAAAAAGACCGAATTGAGACTTTATCTCACAATTCTGACTTTTTTTCTCACAATTGCGAGTTTACATCTTGCAATTCTGACTTTATAACACATAATTGTGAGTTTATAGCCTACAGTATCAGATTCTAACATATTTAAGGCCAAATAGGGGAAAAAAGACTTTTACCCCCCTCAGAATAGTTTATATCAATCAATTCTGACTTTATAACATGCAATTGCAACTTTATATCTCACAATTCTGAGAAATAAAGTCACAATTACGAGATGTAAACTCGCAATTGTGAGAAAAAAAGTCAGAATTGTGAGATAAAAAGTCGCAATTACCTTTTTTATTTTTTATTCTATGGCGGAAACAAGCTTCCATACAATATCAACATAAATATCAACAATTTATACCTGTAGGATCTGTTTAAATTATTTAAAAATGGACTGGAAAATCAGTGAGATCAGAATGATTTTTCTATTTCTGTTGAAGATAAGCCTGATGTTATTTGCCATTTTTATGACCATTTTAGTTTTTTTATTGTAGACCATAGATTCTGTGTCAGCATGCAGCAGACAAAGAAATTACTCTCTTTTTCTTTTTTGGTACCATTTAATATATCGTCCAGGGCTGGACGTCTGGAGCACACATGTATCCACTTATGCGCTGTTTCCTGCACTCCACTCACCTTACTCTGGGCTTATTTCTGGAGGCAGAGCCAGTGAAAACACCCATTGTTTTCTTTGGAGGTGAAAGCATTGCAGGGAATTGCTGAACAGAAGTGCAACATATTGACCATGGAGATGCACAGAAATATGTGGACACAGAGAAGGCAATGAGAAAAAGGAGATAAATAAGACTCATAACTGCCAACTTGATCATATCCTTAGGATTCAATGATTGCATTACATTGTGACACTGACATTGCAATGAATGACAAAATCTATGCTTATTTGAAATTAACCAGACTTTTACTACTGTATATGCAGGAGAAATACATTCCAAAATAATCCATTATTACCAAAACCACAACCGCCTTCACATGCTCACCCAATGGTGAATACAGGTACCAGAAGACCTCAATGATCGATGTCCCAACCATCATTATTGACACAGCTATATTTATTTGTTCTCATTGGAGAAGAAATTCTATCAGAGCGTGAACAGTAGTGGGAAACCACAGGTGCCATGAGATAAAAGTGCAACACTACAAGCCTGAATTGCACATCCAGTCAAACCCAAGCATCTAGAAAGGAATTTGGGATTAATGATCTGGAATCATGCACTGGCATTATGGCAAGCCAAGTCAACATTTATTCCTAAAAAATTAACCAGCATATATTTTACCTTAATACTATTTGTTTTTATTCATTTTCATAGAGGTATTCTAGTAATTAATCTAGTAACAACTACATCCAATTAGTTTATTATTTATTTTCTACTGTCTCAGTAGAAACTATTCCATTTCTGCTCTAGTGATAAATCGCACAGTTTTGTCATTGAATTACAGGAATTGTAATTTGTGGTTTGGATATAGATTAAAGTGCACTAATATTGTGTTGTACCCCTTTTAGTATTTTCTTTATTTAGCCAGCTATAATTGTTTCAAGTTAGGCTACTCAGGCACATAACTGAATAGATTGTAGTCACACATTTGAATAGGCCTCCCTATTTAATGAATTGTTAATAGTATAGTAGGCTATGAATAATGTATAAGTTAATAGTATAGTATGCATAATAATCACTTTTAGATTGCTTACCAGTCGTTTAAAAAAGTTTTATAACCTGAATACTAGTTAGTTTTTAAGCAAAATGCTTGCCACATTGAATACACGAAGGGCATGAACTCACGGATTGTGGTCCTATTGTGGCTGAGATTTCGTACAGTGTCCTGCAGTGAATCCAGTCTGTGCTGCAGCGCAGAAGCTTTATGGATCACCAGCTCTGCTTCAGTCTGGATCTCCACAAACATGCTGCTCGCGTGCCGTGACAGGTCGGACAGCTGACGGATGATGTTGATCAAAGTTTGACAGTTCACAGCATCCAGGGAAATAAATGCATCCCTGGTAACTTCCAGTCGTCCTCTGTTTATTCTGCCCAGGCTCCGGGGCTCCACAATTCTCTTATGAAACGGCATTTTGCATGGGAAATATCCAGTTGTTTGTTATATTAGAATTATTCCAATTGTCCTTTAGAAGTGTGAATTGTTCTTTTCCAGTCAGGTGTTGTAACCTGTTCTGCAAACATCCTGACATCCCACCTCATGATTCAACGGATCCTGCCCTTATTCTTCTGGAGGAGCGCTTTCTCAAACTTTCTTCTGGGGAATCGGTTCTCATGGCAAACTCAAAAACATGGAATCTGGAGCATCAGGCGGATCTGGAATGTGGATCTCACGCCAGGTCCAGAGGAACTTTCATACAATAATAGCATATCCTAACTTGAATTAATTGATTGTAAGTTGCTTTTTAACAATTCACTTTATGATTAATCATTTTTTATTAAATTAACAGAGTTTATGAAATGAAGATCGAGAAGGTGATTTCCTGACATTGAACAAGCAGTTTTGAAAGTTTCAGTTGTGACATTTGAATTTACCAAGAGACTGAAAAAACTATATCTTAGTAGTTCATTCGTTTATTTATTTAACAGGACAAATAATTGGAAAGGGAAAACAGAAATGTAGTGATGGTAAAGTGCGCCCTCGTGTGGCATTTCATTGAAAATTATATTTTCTTTCTTTCTTTCTTTCTTTCTTTCTTTCTTTCTTTCTTTCTTTCTTTCTTTCTTTCTTTCTTTCTTTCTTTCTTTCTTTCTTTCTTTCTTTCTTTCTTTCTTTCTTTCTTTCTTTCTTTCTTTCTTTACTGTACTTCTCTCCTCTGAACCAGTGAGAATTATGAATAATTAATACAATAACTAATTCAAATAAATTAATAATTTCCAAATAATAAATCCAGATTGAAACATTTTAGTTGAATGAACTAGAAGAATACACTATTTAAGTCGGAGACAAGTTTGGGTCAACCAAAAATACTCCAAGTAACACTTTGAAGAGAGAAATCGAGTACTTGTTTTATCTGTGGACTGTGTCTCCTACAACCATTTTCAAGAGCCTTGTCTTGTGGAAGAAAGAAAGAAAGAAAGAAAGAAAGAAAGAAAGAAAGAAAGAAAGAAAGAAAGAAAGAAAGAAAGAAAGAAAGAAAGAAAGAAAGAAAATGGGCCGCACTGTGATGTTTTTTTTAGCTAGTGAGGGGGCAGCAGAGTGTCATTGAAACACACTCAGCCCCTCCCTCTTAAAGGCTCTTCTGAGCTCTGCGTTTGCGCACACCCCGTTGTCAGCCATGTTGTTTGTATGACAGCGCACAGCAACAGGTTGTCAAAGATTCTCAATTAAACAGTACATAAAATCTTTAAAGAAACACTGAAGGCCGATTATCGTCACCCTAATACAGAGGACAATGGAAAAGGATATGTTTTCCTCCCAGGAGATTTCGCAAAGTCAGTAATGCTGTTGTGTAATGTGAGTAGCCTAACGTTACCTCCTGTAATACTGTTCAAATGAATGCTCGCTTTAATGTTATATGCTTTAAATCATACTTTATCTGGCTATAGTGTAGTTACAATACAAATATTATATATAATTTATGTTACATATAATGTCTGATAGTTTTACAGTAACTTGTGTGTGATGAGTTGAGAAAGTGTCCAATTTCACACTCTTCAAAGTCCTTCAGAGCTTCATATTACTTATTATTTATTGCTCATTGTCTGTGAGTCATGTTAAAGAACCGATTCGAAGTCCTTTCAAACATGCATTCTTCTCACAAACCTGCCGGACAAGTGGCAAACTCGTCTGTCTGCCTTCCACGCAAAAATGATTTGCTATTTGCAGTGTAAGTTAATGTCTATCGCTAGTGGAGCTTAACAACAAAAAAGATTCGAGATTTATTTACTTCTGTCTGGGTTATTATAATTCTACAGTGATTCATACATGACAATTACTGGAACATGAACTAGACGATGGTGACGATGGCTGTTTCAAAACGTAATGCGGATGGACAGCATTTTTGGGCATCATAGTCAGTGTCTGTGTCTGATATTCATGAGGCAGGTCAGTGTTTCAGATCCATTCATTGGTTCCTATTGGTTTGTAATCATTTTTGTATTGTAGTATAGATTGGTTATCATATTGATCAGTTTGCACCTGGCCTTTCTCTTTAAAATCTACTGTTACCCTGTGCTGTTAACATTATATAATATTATATAACATTGTAAATGTTGAGCTTTTGAATTATGGCTTTTAAGTTACTATTTATGTAGTTGATTTCTTTAATTCCCTCAGTTTTGAAAGAAATGTTCTTGCAAACCTCGGGTCTGTGAAAGGAAATGATTAATCAAGCCATAATGACTTGATTTTTGTCCTCTATTTTCAGGTGAATGATCTGAGACTTAATTTCTTGGGTTAACCACAGGCATTATGCTGATCTACCAAATTACCAATTCATATTTTACATTAGAAATAGATTGGGTTACGTAGTTGTTCAAGATCACACTTATTTTTCATGTTTATATGCATTGCTTGGTCTTATCTGCCCTTTATCACAAATGCTCAAAGTAGCTCATGGTGTCTAAGCAGACTAATAAACCGATTCATTCTGACTGTGTTACCGTGTTTGAGCCTGCTGGGAAGAGAACTCCAATATTTGGTCATTTAGTAAAAGAAACAGTTGGGGATGTCGGGCATTATTGTAGTGTTGCACAATATACTGGTCCTAGAAAGTTATTGTGATACCCTGGTTTTAAAAGCTATGCATGATCCTCATTTTACTAGTACCAGTACTTTAAGAATGACAGTGCTTTAATAAGAGGGAATCTCCTAAATTTCGGCGACATGCAATCCATTGCAATGCAATCCATTCCCCTGCAGACACACTGGCACAACCAGGCTCAGTCTGGGGACCAGTTATCCTAAAGCAACATTGTGTAGTTTAATTACAGGCTGGTTCACAAGTCAGAAGTCAGATTGTGGATTAGTATAATAAAAATGTATTTCATCCATTTTCTTCCGCTTGAAGATCGAATTCATCATGCTGGTATGGAGATTAAGCTGGCCATTGGGGTCTGTGCAGTGTGCAATGGACTTCTTGTCTGGTCTTCTTGTCTTTGCTGAGGATCTGTACCGATGGCTCTCGTGTCGAAGAAGTCTTAACAGGGGATTGCCTAGTTGACATGGTCTTTGCTGACATTCAGGGCTGCGTTGTGGTGGTGTCTAGGTTCAAATCTGATTGGATAAGGCCCGGATTCGGTTGACTATGTTAACCTAGGGATAAGGGTGAGACAGACAGACAGACAGACAGACTAATGTTAGCATAGATGTAATTCTTCTTATGATGTAACACATTAGATGGTTTTGGTTGACCTACTTTATTCAGCCTATATGACGGTGTGTTACGGTAGTTTAAAGAGATGTTTTTAAGATTTAAACTAAAAGAGTGTCTGGCTCCTGAACAATGCTAGGAAAAATGTTCTAGACTTTCGGTGTTATGAAGTAAAGGGGTTTACCACCAACTGTTGATTTTGATTGAGGTATTCTCAACTGGCCAGAATTTTGAGATGGACTAAATGGACTAAACTCCATTAAAATTGCTCAAGTTAACCATTTAGAGCTTTGTAAGCATGCAAGATATTAAAATGTATGTAATGTTTAATAGGGAGCCAATGCAGTGTTAACAGAACTGGGCTAATATGGTCATACTTCCTGGTTCTAGTAAGTGCACTATCTAGGCTAGCTGCTGTATTTTGGACCAGCTGGAGGTTTGTTTATTAAGCGTGCAGGGCAACCACCCAGTAGAGCATTACAATAATCTAGCCTTGAGGTCCTGAACGCGTTCTAACTTTTCTCCATCTGACATTGAGAGAATATGTTGTAGTTTAGATATTAGATGAAAAATTTAACTTTAAAATGAGAAATGTTGCCTTGGCAACTAGGCTAACTGAAATTAAATAAGTATAAGTACTAAAATTGCTAAAACGGAAATAAAAACAAATTAAAGCTAAGAGAAATGTAAAAAACAAAACCTCATAACAAGTTTAAATCTGAAAATATAAATTAAAGCTTTTTCATATAAATAGGCCTACTATAATAGTATAAATCATTCTAAAATAACAGTTTTTTTAAATCATACTTGTTGTAAAAGCAGGGAAAGTAAAAATGCCAAGTATTGTTGTTGAGCCCTGATGTCTTTAATAAGGTCCAATGATGTTTTAGTTGGGTGGTTTATGTACAGTGTGTATATGTTCCTTGACAGCTGTGTGTGTGTTTGTTCAGGCTTCATTGACATCACCTGCATGACCTTCTGCACATAAAGCCATCAGACAATGTCTCTCAGAATGTAGAACTCTAGGGACTTGAAATCTTAGTATCAAAATATCAATGTAATTTAGGCTAGTTAAATTAATAATAAAATTGCATTTACAACCCTCTACAGACACATGGAAGCTTGAGACGCCATTGGCTTGTACTTTCTTATTTTTATTTTACTCACCACCAGGCGTTTTACATAGAATGCAAGAACAATGCAAATGAAAATATTCTACATTTAATATAGTATAAAATATAAATGTTTAATATAAGATATATACATTTCAAACATTATTAAAGACATGTAGGCCTAAACAGTCTGTAATAAAACAAATAATCAAACTAAAAGCAATAGCACAAATTGAATAAAGAAATCTATTGTAAAATAACACTTCATGGTCTTCTTCATTGTATAAAGTTACAAAAGTTTTTCAGTTAAGCAGTGAGTGATTTTTTTTTAACTCTAAACACAGACAGCAGGAATATTAGGCTGTTGTCACTTTAAGACCCACATACTAAAAAAGTACCAAAAATATTGATATTTCGATATGTATCCATTAGGGGAGTAAATCGGACAGTTTCTGTGAAAAACTCGCGTCGAGTTTATGACTGTTTGTTTTCTCTCGTGTATGCCACAAAATTGTCAATGGGAGCACGAAGCCCAGGGTTAGAACAGTTTCCCTAAATTAACTGTTTTGGGAAATGAAATCAGTAGTACCAACCACCCTCAGCATTATCAAAGCTCTACGCTGTCTTTTACAATCAATGCTTTCATTTTGAGAGAACTGAGAATTCCTCTACAAGCACAAAAGTGAAAGGTCTGACACACAAGACAGGGTATGTTGGTCTTAATGTGGCATAATGTTCATTCTGACCACAAGAATGTGGGCCTAGAGCATTTGTACAACATTGTTTGTGACCTCTTGACATCCTGTTTCGTTTTTTTGCTTTCCTTTGCACTTCCTTCGTTCCTTTGTGGTTGTTAATTCACACACACAGGGTGGAGGCAGGAGGTGGTAGTAGGACATGGCCCGCAATGACCTCACAGTCTATCTTTCCATCTCTCACATCATGCACGTCATTCATATAAAGTGGGTGAAAGTAGAATGACAAAATAACATTGTGCTTTGTCTGTGATTCAATATTTCCGAAGAGTTCACACAGTACCAATTACTGAATCCGGTTATTGACAAGAAACATGTGGAGGGAAAAGTTTTGTTGGCATTTAAAGCGCTGGATATTGGATGCTCGCTATAAATTAGGTTATGCAAAATTTCCCCAGTTGCAAATCACACGCAAAGTCTCAATGAAATATACTATTGGTCTCTTGACGCACTCAGAAACACAATGGTTTTGTGTGGTTTCCTTTTCACAGGAAAGACATTTACAATCATGATACAAGCAAATTTTATTTCAAATAAATAATTAATTTTTATTCATCAAAAAATAATTATAACGGTTTCTTCCCCAAACTTGTATCATATTGATGTATGATACATAAATGATTTTAAGATTGTGTTATGTATGTGTTTGTGTTATGTGTTTGTATATGTAAATAAGATCTATATATCTGTATTTTCTATGTATATACAGAATTAGAGACGTATATTATTGTCCATCTTGTCAGTACTGGTCTTTACTGACTGAAATCAGTACTAAATAATATAATCATCAGCCATTGGCCAATTTGATCTGTAGCTATGGTGGCTTAGTGCTTGTTTTGTGTGAGTGTGTATATTTGTATGTGTGCGTAGAGATAATATCAGGCTAAATAAATTTGTAAATCAGAGTTCTTGGCAGACTCCCACTACTGACATTTACTAGTATAGAAGAACCACATTTATTTAGTAAATTTGCATGGGTACATGCTTTTATCAAAGGTTTACAGGGATAAACCTAGAGGACATTTCATTATCATTATAGGACTATGGCTTAAGGTGTTTTGATTTGATTTTGAGCATCTTCATACTTTAACCTTCTTAAACTCTTGTTTCTGAGATGAATTATCCCAAAGTATGACTCTCATTACTCTTCCAGCATGAACTGGATAGCCTTTGAAATAAGTTTAATGTCATTAGGAGGAGGATAGTGATGCAGTCAGTCATAAATGGTGTAATAAAAGTGTCATTGTTTATTAAGATACTGCACATAGAGCATTATTCTGTTGAAAGCATTTGTATGGGGAGTTTGGAGCTCTCATCCCCTCCCTCTCACCCTTCCTCTTTCCTTCACACATCCTCTTCTCTCTCTCTTTCAGTCTAAGAGTGCAGGATGGAGATAGCGACAGCCCTGCACTCCCCTGCCTGCATTATTAATGGGTGGACATTTCTTCTTTCTCTTTCTCTGTGTGTGTGTGTGTGTGTGTGGTGCAGATGACTGAGCTAGCCAGCTGAGACGAGGAGATCAGGACTGCTCTCCTCATATCCCTGCCACCTGCAGCCATGAATGGTAAGAGCTCTGCTTTATATTTCTATGTGTGTGTGTTTATCCACGTGTCCGAACCAACTGGATTTGTGTGTCTGTGTGTGTGTGTGCCCGCACGAATGCACAGAGAACCTTCAGCCCCATAATGGCACTAAAACATGACTCGTTCCTATTCGTCATGTCTCGTTCATATTTGCAGTGTGTATATCGGTATAGCAGGACGGACACTGCTTTGACACTGCAGCATGATCACACACCAGCGGGTCTGACCGTTCGCTTTGCGGCCCATCTGTGAAACAGTCATGTCATTGCTTATTGATTTTGTTTATTTAATAACTGAATTGGGTTTTTAATTTTTTATATGTACATTTTTTTTATATTTTTTTCTCAGTGCATTTAGACATACATTCGAGTAGCAGGACCGGATCACCTTGTAAATCTTTCAAGTGATGTTGTTTATTAAAGTTTAGTTTGAGTCATTGTTCGACATGTCTGCCTGTTCCATTTGGGAACGGTTGTTTTAAACTACATTTCTCTATGATTATGGTCTGTCTATTTTGAAATGGTCTATCATATTTTCTTTTTTCCTATCTCAAGATAAAATCATTAAAAATTATTTGTCAGAATACTTTTAGTCCAAAATGGCTGCTGTCATTCCTGTTATCCTTAGCAATCAAGAGTCAACAATGATTTGTTGGTAGAAAGAAGTTAATGTTTCTTTCTATGTTGTGATGGCGTGATTTATGTATGTCGAATCAAAATGTGAATATACTGTAACGTGACAGTAAAACTTGCCAACTTTTGAACTAAAGTAAAATTTCCCAGTTTTTCCTCTTTGTCGCCATCTCTGTTCGAAATCGCGATCTCCGTTCGAAATTGCGGTTATTCGCGGTATTATCAACTTTATGTGGGTTGTGCCTTGGTACGACACAGCGAGGATGAATCCAATGTATTGTATCACGTTAATGTTAACAACATAAGAATTGCGTGACTACATTTAATGCCCTTCCGATATTTCGCATGTGCCCGGTTTCAGTCTCTTTTTTTCTTTTTAAGTCTTTTGTACAGTGTATTCTACAGTGGGTGAATCTCCAGTTGTCACTGGTGATTGTCGTTTGAACCTTTCTTGAATCGAGCTAAGGCAAGAAGATAGTTTTGAACACTGGCTGGTTATGTACTTGCTCAAAAATTTATTTTGGATAATTTTTAACCCCAAAAAAGTGACTGAATACAGCTTTAAAAAATGACAGCTCACTATCATTTGTATAATAAATTAGTGTGGTTGATTTAAGGGTTATTTTGTAAAGCATAGAAAGTTTTTTTTTTTAAACGTTTAATAAATTATTTTTTTTTAATTTTTATATATATATATGTAAATTTTTTTGTACAAAATTGTTTTAATGGAATATACGTGACTGCTTATACAGAAATTTGCAAATGCAAATACTACTAAGAAAAAAAAGAGAAAATTACATTGAATGACAATTTAATGAAATGCATTTATAATTTTGAATTATTGTATTCAAGCTTGCTTATTGTATTTAAGCTTTAAACACTTAAATTGAGTATTTGTTAAATGTGTATGGTTTCGAACTTAAAAGTGTGTCATGTCTATTGACTAACACTGCAGTTTCAAGTGATTTACATCCACTTTAAAAGTTTCGGTCTGACTAAAAAAAATATTTGTCTTTTTAAAAAGTCATTTGTCTGGTCTGACTCAAATTGTGAGGGCTTGGTGTTGTTTGCTTGCTGTGAAGGACAGAAGTGACGTATTTATCATTCAAACAACCTGACTCTGCAAAAGCTAACTGTGCATGTAAATGTACTTGCTGATACTAGAGTACTGAATCTGTCAGCAGCATCACAGTGGTGTTGCCTGCATTATTAGTCGTTTAATTATCTATTTTCTCTCTCTCCTTCTCTACCTCTCTCTCTCTCGCATATACCTCATTCTTTCTGTGTCTACTTTTCTTTTAAGGTGGTCGGAGTATTTGGGCTATAACCCCAGAGGAGAGGGACAAACATGATCAGAAGTTTGACACCCTCTCGCCAGTGCAGGGCTTCGTTACAGGTATGTGCTTGGGAACCTTTGCTTGTGTTAAAATGCTAGATTTTTTGATATAAAGCCTGCATTTTATGTACAAGCATTAATGTTACTTGCATATGAATTTATTTTCTATTACTATTATTAATTTTTGTGTATAGGGGAGAAGGCACGAAACTTCTTCATTCAATCTGGGCTTCCTCAGTCTGTGCTAGCTGAGATCTGGTGAGAAATTCTAACCATGCACAATATGGTTAAAAGGAAATCTATAAAACTGCTTTTTTAATAAAATAAATCCTTGCTCTGATCGCAGGACTCTGGCTGATATGAATAAAGATGGTAGGATGGACCGGCTGGAGTTTTCTATAGCCATGAAACTGATCAAGATGAAACTGCAGGGACAGACTCTTCCTACAGCTCTGCCTATCATCATGAAGCAGCCACCTGTGCCAGCTCCAACCATGCCAGTAACACCTCTCGGTGCGCTGCCAAGCTACACTATTACCAGCAGAGCAATGATCTGCGAGGGCATTGGGATAACACACTTGCACTGTAACATAAATGAAAATCTTGTTGTTGGAATTACAGATTATTTATCTTAATCTAATTGTTATCTTTACTCAGTACCACAAAACAGAACAGGCCAAATTTTTCTTGTCTGCAGTCACACATGAATGCTGTTCAAACATCAATATTCAGTGTTCAGCAACCTTGCCCGCATTCTATGGAGGTCATTTATGTAGAGGTCATTCAATTCTTAAAGGCACAATAACAAAAGCCTGTTTAATGCTAAGTTATGACTGTTTAAGGTAAGACTCTGATTAACATTATTAGAAAATTTTAGATTTAAGCAATGCTACAAGTCTAGAAAGATATTTCCCCATTTGTGGGGAAAACCTCATTCCTCATGAAAGTCCTTTTCATGACAGCAGGCAGGTGCACAGCTTGATGGCCACAAGATTCAGTTGAGTTGTAATGTGGAACAGATGGCTATAACCATGACCTTTAACGTGTACTAGAGAAACGTGTCTACAACTTGTGAGATTCGAGAAGTAGCTCCTGAATTCAGTGCTTGTAAAAATGAGATTTTGCTAGAGTTAAACTAGTGAGGTCTTGCTATAGAAATGAATAGTTTGAAACTTTACAAGCACTGTGTTATAGGAATGTATCACATTTTGTTGTGTTATGTCTGTTTAACGTTATCCTTTGTGCCTTTTCAGGAATGGGAACTATGCCAAATGCATCCATGATGCCCAACGTGCCCATTCTGACCCCTATACCAATGACCACTATGAGCCCCATGCCAGGCATGGCTCCCATGATGGGCACAGGTCTGTCGATGCCAGTGATTCCCACCATTCCCACCATCAGCACTCCAGCCCTGCCTAACGGACCTATTGCCATTCTACATCCGACCTCCATCTCACTCACCTCCAGTAAGAAACGCTGTAACCTTTTAAATTGTTTTTGATCAAATAAATGCAATTTTGGAGAGCATAAGAGACTCTTACAAAACATTAAAAAATGTTACAGACCAAACTTAAGTAGTGTATATATCCATACATGTTGTGTCATTGTGAATGCTGTAAAGCCATGAACCTCTGTGAGCGTTTAGTGTGCTAAAGGTGAAATTACCCTGATCTCTCTCTTTGCTCTTACTGAAGTCAGCATTTATTCTGCTTCAGTGTTCCTGTGTCATGACTTGCTCAGCTTGTACCTATAAGACTGAGCTATATGTAGATTTAACAGTCTCAAAACGATGACTTTGTGGCATATACTGATTTTGATCACAGAAAATTCCAGTATTTTGACTTGCATCATATATTCCTTTATTAATGGCTTGTACACTCTGTTCTGGAAGATTTTAATAAGTGTCACAGTCTACATTTTTCTTACAGATGTGTTTGTTTGCTTTTTTTACGTAGCTCTCCCGATGTCAAGTTCATTTTCCTCTTCACCACTGGGCTTCTCCGCCACTCCAATGAACAAGACTCCATCTTTGCTGGACCTGGGCTCGAGCAGGTCAGGAACTTCCACACATGGACTTCAGTCTATTTATAATCTATTTAATGTGTATATAAAACTCTCTGCACACAAAGTGACTTGTGTACTTATGTCTACAGCTCAAACTCTTCCCCCTCCTTATCTTTGGCCAGCAACTCTCCTAAGGGCGGCCCTTCTGATTGGGCCGTCCCACAGGCATCACGGCTCAAATACAGACAGCAGTTTAACAGCCTGGACAAGCAAATGATCGGTTATCTAACAGGTACTTCATTGTAAATGATTTTCAAAGAATCATCGACTCAATAATGGGTGAAAAAAATGGTCAGTTGTCTTACTGGTGTGAAAAGAATTGCCAAAGGGATAGTTCGGCTGGTACTAAATTACTGCAGATTATCTTAATGATGCCTAGGTACAAAACATTTGAAATGCCACTGTGATTACTGTAACAATCTGATTGCTTTACCTGATGTAAAACTTCAGCTGAAGGCTACTGTTGTAGTGCTGTAAGATGACAATCCACACCCTTGTGGCTCATATGCATAGCGCATGAGAGTATCACTTGCATACCTCATAACAATGACACATCTACTAGAGAATTTCAGGAATGAGGAAGTGGGTAAAGCATGACTTTGTGGGTCGTTTTCATAAGTTTATGGCATAAAGTTTAATTCCACTGCCTACATCTCAGGGGCAAGACGTTTTTTTTACACATCATTTATGAAGAGAGCTTATTTTTTCAGTGTGTGTGAACAGTTTCTTGATGTGGTAATATGTTGGTGGATTTCAGTGTTGTTACATTAAGAATATCCATCAGCTAGACAGACCAGTTATGTTAGTACAGCAACAGTATCAACTAGCTGGTTGTAAAAAAAACAGCTATAAAAAAGACAGTTTCTAAAGGGGATTTGTTTAAGTTAAGAAATATTGTAATTACAATCTTTTTTCTGCAGGTCCTCAAGTTAGAACTGCAATGGCTACAACTTTGCTAACTCAGACTCAGCTAGCTGCCATCTGGTAGGTGTTTTGATTCCCCAGTATTTCCATGAAGCATTTTTCACAAATCTTACTTTGAATTATTGGATTTTTTTTTTTTTGCCCTAAGTTCAAGAGTTGTTGCATGCAATATAAACATGTGACATGCACATTTTTTTTTGACTAATTTATAGTTAGTTTTTTTTTTTATTTTTACAGATGCTATTGTCAGCATCATTTGTTTTTGAAAAAATCATTTAAAAGTTAACAAATTTCAGAATGTTTTATTATTTAGTACATGCCATTTTGATTTAATTTGTGTGTTGTTGCTTTTTTTTCTCTCAGGAATCTGGCTGATGTTGATAAAGATGGCAAACTGAAGGCTGATGAGTTTATTCTTGCCATGCATCTGGTAGACATGGCAAAAATGGGACAGGCGCTGCCTATGGCACTTCCTTCAGATTTGGTACCCCCGTCACTGAGGTACTGCAGAAAAGATTGTATTCTGCTATTGGCTGAACTTTTTTTATATACAAAACTTTGGTTATGAATGCATGAATTGCTTAACAATGTTCTTTCTCCATATATATGAACCTTTAGGGGGAAGCTAGGTGACTCTCTGAATGGAACCACTCCCTCGATTTACGCAACTCTGGCTGAGGACCTCTATGAATCTGAGCCTCCACAGAAATCAAGGAACAATTGTACGGCTTTACACCATACCCATTATTACATAATACAAATATCTATGACTCACTTTCTTTTACAAAGATATCCTCCTGCTTTTACACAGCGTATTTCAAAACAGAATCCTTCTATTTAGGCACACCGATTGTATAATAATTGTTGGATATGCTATCAGTTAGTTTAAATTTTCTTAAATATTGAATTATGCTCATTACTGGATGTGATGCATCTTACTTGTAGTAGCCCTACCTGCATATTATTTAGACACTTACATACAATAAAATGTCAAAATGTAATTATTAATTAGTTTATAAACTGTATTTTAATGCCATATATCTGGAAAATTGTTGCTTGAACATTCCAGTTCACTTTAATAATTGAAATGTATGTTCTGTGTATCTAGTGACTTTTGAAGATAAGTTCAAGAAAAATATGGAGATGGGAAATGCTGAGCTGGAGAAGCGCCGACTGGCCCTGCTGGAGCAGCAACGCAGGGAGGAGGAGAGGAGGGCACAGAAGGCCAGAGAGGAGCAAGAGAGGAGAGAGAGGGAGGCACGAGAGCTGGAGCTGAAGAGGAAGAGGGAAGAGGAGCTCAGACTGGAGCGACAGAGAGAGTTGGAGAGACAGAGGGAGGAGGAGAGACTCAGAGAGCTGGAGCGGAAGGAGGTGAGGGGGTGACCTTGTGAAAATGTGTCCGGTTCAGATCAAATGTACATTTCTCAAAGTATGTTTCAGTAATCTATAGAAATAAAAAAAATACAGAGTTTTTACTGACCACTATTATCATGGTCCTCACAGGCAGCCAAGAAGGAGCTGGAGCGTCAACGACAGATTGAGTGGGAGAAGAGGAGAAAACAAGAGCTCCAAAACCAGAAGAGCGAGGAGCAGGAGGACATCATCAAGCTCCGAGCCAAGAAAAGGAGTCTGGAGATGGAGCTGGAGGCTGTGGTGAGGCTTTAGGGATGAGATATAAATTTAACAACACTATTTCTACTGTGCACAATTACTGAATAATTCCTTATTTTTAAAATGGTATATGGACAGAATGCTTGATAAATAGTTTTTCTTTTTTTTCTTTTAGGGAAACAAGCAGAAACAAATCTCTGACAAGCTCCGAGATGCTCAAGGCAAAAAGAGAATCCATAAAAATGAGCTGGAAATGATCAACCAGAAAAGAGACTCCTGCATCACTGATATCAACACTCTGCAGAAACAGTTAGAGGTCTGACTGCTACATCCATACCAGCACACACTTTTCATATAATAAAAAATTATCTATTTATTAATTGACTCTAAAATCTTTATTGATTCTTAATATAACGCAATTTAGATGTAGGCTGCCTCAGAAGAGCATAGCGGTAATCATTACAACTTACTTTTATTTGTTTTTATTTTTTTCACCTCCAGGAATTTAAGAGAAAGTTGGCACAGTCCACCACAGAACAGATACAACTCAGTGACAGACTCCGCAGCCTGAGTCTCAACAACCTCCCTAGTAAGATACATTGGCCAATCATATGTGTATTCTAATCCCCTCCACACACACACACACACACACACATATTGCTATTTAAAAAAAAGGTTTTGATACAAGCATCTTGAATTGAGCAGTGCACATGACTGATGTTGAATTGTAAAAAAAAAAAGATATATGTTCCCTCTAATTATAAGAGCATCAACAAGAGCATTTGTTTAAAATGTTTCTGCTGTTTGTTTTTTTCCTCCATGTTGCAGCTGCAACAGTAAATATTTTACAGAGGAATATGGAAGAGAAGGATCTTACCTGTCGAAAGCTTAAAGAACAGCTAAATACTTTGGAGAAAGAGACTGCAGTAAAATTAGCAGACATGGATCAGTATAAGAAAGAAATCCAGGTAATCTATTAATATCACTCAGCCATGATTAACACATTCATGTGAACCAATCAGAACAGAACAAAACTGATTAAACCACAGGAGATTTTAACTTGACAAAATATAAAATTACCCAGCTTTAGCGATTTTAGCATTTCTATAGTCAGTGCGAACAGCATATAGACTGCTACTGATGACACTAATGCGAATAACCCCTATGCTTTTGTCCCTGTGTCTTTATCACTAGCTGTAGAGCTTTTCTGTCTGTCTGTCTACTTGTCTGTCTCTCCCTGGCTTTCGCTGCAGTTTGAGGAAATGGATGACTGCATGCTTAAAGGCCTGCTCTCTTTACTGAGTTGCCTCAGCAATCTCTTCTTCCTTCTGAAGGTTGCGCATCTCTTTTTCCCTCCTCCTGCTCATTCTTACTGTAGCAGCTTCACCTTTAGATCATTACTAATGGTTCTTTACTGCACAAATGATTAGGCATTACAGTCAATATACATTTCCATTTTTAATGTGTTTTACTTCCATATTGCAACTCATTTCTTTGTGAAACAGAAATAATCTATGTTGGGTTTTTATACATCAGAATCAAACTGATTAGAAATTTTCTGTCAATGTGGTCTTGGTTATATTGGCAGTAATTGCAGAGGTAGAGAAATATTTGGATGATTTGTGTACATTAGGATTAGTAATATTTATTAAAAAGTGTCAGTTTGTCATTTTAGTATCATTGAGATACTACTTTATAGATTTTGTTAATATTTTGCTTTTTTGCACTTGTGTTGTTTTTCTGTTTTTATTTTTTGTAGTAATTTTGTTTGTCTTTTTATTTAAAAAAAAGTTTGTATAGTTTATTAATTTGATTTCAGTGTTATTTATTTTAGTACATTAAAAGTTAAACTAAATGAGAATGAGAAGTATTTCCTTGACAACTAGCTGAAATAAGTTTTTCTCTATATATATATATATATATTAACTTTTTTTAGGTACAGAAATGTTTTTTTAATGGTTTTGTTTTAGTTGTGGGTAACTATAGAACCCTTATTTGGAGTAAATTCTGGCTTTAAAGTCAGTGTGGATGTATGTCAAATCCCCCTTGAATCCTTAAATTGTAACGTACTTCTGATTGAAACTTTAAAAATGTAATTAGAACATGAAAATTAGAAATTGCACACCAGAATGGAGCCAGACATCTATGCAAGTGCCTAAATAACTATTTCGCTATTGGTTAATATTATTTTCTTGTCTAAATGATGTCCACAAAAAGGAATGTAATTTTAGACTAAAACCACCTTGTTTTTATTATAGATTATGAATACAAAAATATGCTAATGTGTACCAATAAATGAAACTTGGTACCAGTGTTAAGTTGGGTAAATTTTGATTTCATTCGAACTTTAAGGACTTTTTGGCTCTCTGTTACACGAGTTGTCTGAACAGAGTTCAGTGTGTCATATTCTTGTGGTTTGTTTATCAGGATCTCCGAGAGAGCCAGAGGATCCAAGAGTCTGCTTTGGAAAAACTTCGCAATATTAAGGAAGAAAAGATTCGAGAGCTAAAGAAACGCAAGCAGGAGGAACTGGAAAAGAAGAGGAGAGAAGAGGAAGAGCAGAAGTAAGAAATCCTTTCCCGTAATACACTCACACTTACAGAGCCTACAGAGCATTCAGGATTTCACAGGCAAAATTTCTTTCCTAATGCAGACGCATCAAACTGGAGAAGGAGCGGCAGTGGCAGGAGAAACTGAGGCGTGATGAAGAGGAGAAACAGAGGAAAATACAGGAGGAGAGAGACGCCAAACTTCGTGAGGAGGAGGAGAGGGAGAGACAAGCTCGTTTACAGGCTGCTAAAGAACAAGCGGAACGAGAGCGCAAGGCCCGGGAGGAGGAGGATGAAAGGAGAGAACAAGAGAGACGGAGATTTGAGGAGAAAAGGAGGCAGGAGGAAGAGGAGGACCGCAGGCGGCGAGAAGAAGAAAGGAGGAAGCTGGAGGAGGAGAGGAGAAAACTGGAGGAAGAAAGAAAAAAACTGGAGGAGGAGAGAAGGCGGCAGGAAGAGTTGAGATTAGAGGAGGAGGAGAGGAAGCGCGAGGAGCGGAAAAGGGCAGAGGAGGAGCGGAAGTTGAAAGAGGAGGAGAGAAGAGAAGAGGAAAGAAGAAGGGAACGTGAGGAGGAGGAGAGGAGGCGACATCGTGCGCAGGAGGCTGCCTTGAGAGATGCAGAGGAGAGGAAGAGAAAAGAGGAAGACCGGAAAAGGCAGGAAGAGGAGGACAGGAGGCGTCGGGAGGAGGAGCAAAAGAAACAGGATGAGGAGAGGAAGAGGAAACAGCAGGAGGAAGAGGCCGCAGCTGTGAGGCTGAGAGACGAAGAACAGAACAAGAAGACCACTCTCAAATCAGACATTGTTGCTGCTCTTTTGCGTGGCCTGGAGGAGAGGAAGGGTAAGAAAAAAAAGTGTACCATGACTTTTAAAATCAACTAGCATGGCTAATCGAATCATCTCTGATGTGATTTGAATGAATGTCCTTGTGATTTCAGGCAGCAAACATCCTCTTGGCACACAGCACAGAAGATCAGCAGCATTGACGACATTTAAAGCCCTCTACCCCTTCACTGCCAGAAACGATGATGAGCTCTCCTTTGAAAGCGATGACCTAATTGAGGTCAGTTGATGTAATGTAGAGAAGAAAAATATGTTTTTTTTTTTTTTATTATTTGTTTGTTTTGTATGCGTGTAAGTACATTGGTTAAAGGGTGTGGTAAAGTGCTTGCAGGAGAGGTGTGTCTTCAGCTGCTCCTTGAATGATGTATGGTCTCAGTAGTTCAGCTGGAGGTTGCTTTAACTCTTATGCTGTGAACATCAAGCAGTTTCAGAGTTTGTTCAGCAGGATTTGTGTTTGTTTAGGTGGACGAGAGCTTAGAGCGAGAGCAGGGCTGGCTGTACGGCAGTCGACAAGGGAAGATGGGCTGGTTCCCTGAGAGCTATGTGGAGAAGCAGGTCAAATCTGAGGCTCCGGCTGTGGCCAAACAAGCCCTGAAACCACAGGTCTCCATTTCTGTCAGGTGCGGCCTCCAATCTGAATACCTCACATTGTTCAAATGCTTTATTTATTGTACACCTGTTAGCACAATTATTTCCTCAAACTGTTCCCAATGTACACTCACAGACAAAGTGCATGTGCCTACAGAACCATCACAGAAAACATTCACAGCTACAACCTGCATGTGTTTCATATGAAAGAGACTAAACTAATTTATAGAACCTGTTCACACCAAGTCTGAAAGTATAAAATATTACCAAACAATTTTTTCACAAAGCAATATTTTTCTATTTTGATTAAAAAAAATAGAAAACTAATTCAAAAACTATCAGTTGAAATAAGGACTTTGTGTGAAATATTTCATAGAGATGCACTGTTTAATTTCAAAGTCTTGAACGTGACAGTAGAACATGTGGAATTTTCTAAAACACCTTCTTCACCAGTAAACTGAGTGACGGACAGAGTGGATCTCGGCTGAACTCTGCTTTCACCCCAACCCATGCCACAGGCTCTTCCTCTTCCAACCATGGTCAGGTATGCAGGATTCCTTAAGAATTACCGCATAATGTTTATGTAAGGTACATCTTCCTTGTAGTGGAATGCAATGACATTTGCTTCATGTTTTCAGGTGGTGGTGAATGTGCAAGCTCAGGCTCTCTGCTCTTGGACTGCAAAGACGGACAACCATCTCAACTTCTCCAAAAATGATGTGATCACAGTTCTGGAGCAGCAGGAGAACTGGTGGCTGGGAGAACTCAGTGGGGTTAAGGGGTGGTTCCCCAAAACCTACGTTACAGTGCTGAGCGGCAGTGATGCACAAGCAGAGTAAATACACACCATTCTAAAGTGGTTGTGATGTTGCTATATTTTTTTTTTTTACATAATAGATGGGTGTGTAGCTGTGAGTGTTACGTGTACTTTGTCTGTGGAAAGTGTTAAAGTTTATGTTGTTTTCAAACTTTGCATACTAAAACTGTCCTGAGGTGTTTTCCTGCAAAGACACTAATTCAGATGTTTTTCACTTTCACTACTTGATACTGAAACACTATTTGTGACCCTGAACCACAAAAGTAGTCTTTTGTGTCCATAAAAAAAACTTAAAAGCTAAACAAAATATGCTTTCCATTGATGTATGGTTTGTTAGGATTTGACAATATTTGGCCGAGATACGACTATTTGAAATCTGGAATCTGACGGTGCAAAAAAATCTGAATATTGAGAAAAAATTCTGTTGGCGATTGTGCTGCATCCACTTACAAAAAATTATTTTTTTTACTGAATATCTTCATGGATCATGATCTTTACTTAATATCCTAATGATTTTTGATATAAAAGAAATTGCCACAAATCTACCCGTGCAGCTTAAGACTGGTTTTGTGGTCCAGGGTCACATTTGATCATCTTGTTTGGTTCTTGATGTTTATTTTTTCGCCCTCCATAGTTCCACTGATGGATCAGATTCAGCAGATGGATCCAACTATGAAGGTAAGAACTTTTTTTTCAAAAGAACATTACTATTAATTTGAAATCGAAATCTTTTGTAAAATTATAAATGTCTGTTCTGTTACTTTTGAGCAATTTAATGCATATTTGCTGAAAAATATAAATTGATTTAAATAAAATAAATAAATAAAAATCATTGACCCCAAACAGTGGTTATGAGTGCGAGAGAGCGTGTGTATATTCATGTCCAGTATGTTTTGTCTGTTATGTTTTTGAATATGGACATATTATATATAAGGACATCAGAATTGTCCTTCAGTCCTGAGTTTCTGTGAACCATGTTTGTATGTTGGTCCCGTCATCAGAATACGTGGCGCTGTACACTTACGAGAGCCCTGAACGTGGAGACTTGACCTTCACTGAGGGAGACACCATCCTGGTATCAGAGAGAGAAGGGGAGTGGTGGAGAGGCAGCATCGGAGACAGATCAGGAGTCTTCCCCTCCAATTACGTCAAGCCAAAGGAGACTGATGTAATTTAATCTTTATATTCAGGGATACTGGCATTTATATATGTTGTTTGTTGTGATATAACTTTTATTTTATTTTCTCAATAGACTTCAAGCCTCTCTGGTAAACCTGGAATGCTGGCGAAGAAACCAGGTGAGGAACAGTGTAATGTTCTATGGCAGCATTAAAATCATAGTAATTAGTTTATAGTGATCTAAACCTATAGCATGCTATTTTGTTTGTAGAAGTGGCCCAGGTGACCACTGCACACACTGCTGCCGGAGCAGAGCAGTTAAATCTTTCTCCTGGCCAGCTCATCCTCATCCTCACCAAGAACCCCTCCGGCTGGTGGCTCGGGGAACTGCAGGTGAGTGAGCTTTTTATGCACATTAAGACATTAAATTAAGACATTGAATTAGTCATTTTCCACACTTTTTTTAGCATTTACCCTCCCTGATTTCCAATTGCGTTAATCAAGGTACTAAAATCGCAGTTTAAAGTATTATTTAAAAAGTAATAGTGCAAAGTAAACTTTTGCTGATAATTTACTCACCCCCATGTCGTTCAAGATATCCATGTTATTCTTTCTTCAGTCGAAAAGAAATTAAGGTTTTTGATGAAAACATTCCAGGATTTTCTCTATATAATGGACTTCATTGGGCACCAAACGGTTCAAGGTCCAAATGAGAGTTTCAGCGCAGCTTCAAAGCGCTTTAAACGATACCAGACGATGAATAAGGGTCTTATCTAGCGAAATGATCGGTGATAGACAGACAGCTGAAAATTGTCTCTTTGTCTCTTCAGGCCAGGGGGAAGAAGCGTCAGAAGGGCTGGTTCCCTGCTTCGCATGTCAAGCTCCTGGGCTCAAACAGTGGCAAATCCACACCTGCATCTGCTGCTAGTGAGAAACAGTACAAATATCCAGGGTTAATTTTTTTTTTCTCTGTGTATCTCTCCTTATAGCTCTCTCTGTCCTTCCTCTCTCTAGTCGGCCAAGTCATCGCCATATACGACTACACCGCAGCGAACGAGGACGAGCTAAGCTTCTCGAAGTGTCAAATCATCAATGTGCTGGACAAAAGCGATCCTGACTGGTGGAAAGGAGAACTCAATGGGGTCACAGGCTTGATTCCTACCAACTATGTGAAATTGACCACCTCAGATTCTGACCCCAGTCAGCAGTGTAAGTAGAGACCTATAAACAGAATTAACTTTGGTTCTGTTTTTGAATTATTGTGCAAGCTATTGATTGCCTTTACGTTTCTTTTGAAAGTTAACTTGGGTTCAGATTTTATATATATATATATATATATATATATATATATATATATATATATGTATGTATATATATATATATATACTGTATATATATAAATATACATGTAGTATCTAATGTTAGACTTTTCTTTTCCCTTCTCCAAAATTAGCTACATTCATTTGTCACACATTCTTTTCCCCTTCCGCTTTTTTCTTCTCATTTGTGTCCTTCTCTGTAGGGTGGTAACACCTTTCCCTCCCTTCGCCCATGAGAGACCCACTATCCCCCTCTCACTGTGGAGGTGGTCCTGCTGAAACCACCATTTACTCACCCAATCACCCTCCTTTATCTCTCCTTACCCATCTCATTTGTTTTAAACTAAAACAAGGTTTCTCATTCAATTGACTGGTAGTCTGGACCGATCCTAACCTATTAGTAGAGGGATAGTGAGTCTTTCTGTGGTGTTCATTTTTTAAATTTTCTTAAATTTTAATTTGCTTTAAAGTTTCCCATGTGTGGCAGCTTAATTTATAGCTAAGATAGGACTTCACAGTAAACCTGTTGCTCCTCAGTCATTTTAAAGGGGCACTTGGCAACTATTTCAACATAATAAAACCATTTAGAAATCATTTGAATGGTTCAATAACCTGTTCTGGAGAGAATGGTGACTTTCTCCGCTCCCCCCAGTGTCCCCAGGCGGAAAACCAACCTTGCAACATGGGGACTAACATCCCGATAAGGTGGAAAGTCTTGTGAGAAGTGAGAATGCGCGAGAAACACAAACTGCTTTGCAATTCGACATGATACTGTGTATGATTTATTACCCACCTCAGTAGACATAGCTCCACACGATAAAGTTGGCTGGGGGAGCTCGATAAGAAAACATGCGACAACAAAAGTGAAAATCAGTGAAGAAATTACTAGATTTGCCAAGTTCCCCCTTAAGGGGTGCTACATTTTTACGGCATCTTATAAAGTGTAGAACTGCCTTTGTATGTCATCGCAATCTCACTTATATTACACTTTGCTTTCATTTTCTGGTTATTATACAACTTAGTATTATTGATCTCTAGCTATTGAAGGCACTTTGATATTTTAAAGAACAAAGACGTGTCACTTTTTTGAGGCAGTTTCACTTTAAATCTTTAGATGGTTTCCACTCTTTTGCTTCAATTTTATGTGTATTTAGTTTGTATTGAAATCAATGTAAAAACTAAGACAACTTGTATTACTGTCTGTGGTGTATTTAGTGATATAGTTTATAATTCTGCTGCTGCTGCTGCTGTTTTAAGCACAAAGCTTTCGCCTTAGGTGGTATTGTTACATATTTACTGCGTTTTATGCCTTGTTTGTGCATGAATCGCTTCTGTATACAGATTTGTTAATATTATACAGGAAGCTATGCAAGTAGTTGTGAAACTGTGGACGAATGTTTGCCTCAATATCATTTTATTGGATGTTGTTAATAATTATTCAAATATTTCAAATACTTTGGGTCTTGTACTTATTTGATTGGAAGAAATCTAGACATTAAAGTCTTTTGAAAAAAATAAACGTAGTCCCTTTTAATTTTTGTAATATAAGAGTTCAGTGTCAATGTTAAAAAAACATATACACATTTAAAAAAGAAAAAAAAAAACATAGCCCATAAGTATTCCAACTTGTAGCAAAATATAAACATGTATTGATCTTATTTTTTGATCATTATTAATAGAAAATAAAGTTAATGTCACCATGAAATCAAAATAGACAATTTATGGAATATTGCACAGTTTATTATAAATTATTTTTCTGTGCACATCATTATTATTTTGATTAAAGATTATGGACGGCACATAAATAAAATAATAATCAAAATAACTTCCTCTTGCAATATTTCTTCTCCTCTCTGATGATGTGAGGGCAGGACAACCTGTCACTCACATGAGATCACAGCAGCAAACTACAACCATTCAACGATCCAATCAGTTTTCTTTCTTGTTCGAGAAGCCATTTCACTCAGATATATATCACAATAGGGAAGAAATGACCAACACAACATCCATTTTATGTAGACTTAAATAAATGATCAACAAATTAAAAGTTTTAAGTAAACATAAAAGAAACTGGCTATATTATCTCATATGAATCCTCCTCCATGAATGTCTGGGGACTTGCTGACAGAATTTATCTTGCTAATCTTCACTGCCATCTAGTTATGGTTATCCTGCTGTTGTATTATGGGTGTAAACAGAATGAATAATCCTGCATGCTTGCAATATTCATCACAGTAAATGAGCAGGTTTACTAAGAACAGCTCAAGAAAATGAGCGATCATTCAGGGGGTAAACTGCTGTTTTTGCGGCTATGGGATGTGAATGATGAAGACACCATGGATGGTCAAACGGACAGACCACCAGCAGGTAAGGATTCACTCCGGAGGAGTTTGGAGTGTCATTAATACACTGCGACTGACATTATTCTTCTTGGTTGACTGACTGTTTAAGGATCTCATGGATCCTCCAATTTGTCTGTGTTTTGTTGTGTTTTGGGGCTTCAAGTGTCTGGGTGAGTTCACCTGTATGGTTTTCTTGTAGGGTGTGCTGACCAGACCACTTGGGAGTCAATGAGCCAGCAGGAGAGGAAACGGCAAGGTTACATCCATGAGCTCATTGAAACTGAGGAGAAATACATAGAAGACCTACAGCTGGTCCTAGAGGTACACAATCATAATAATTAATAATAGCCTTATAAAATGGTATTATACAGGAAGTTTATTTAAATAATAAATAAATATAAATAAATACATTGATTTTTATTACTGCGAAATCACGTGGCAGTGCTTTTTTCTGTCATATTTGATTTAAGTGTTTTTTTTGTTTTGGATGATAAAACATTTACTTCCTTGTCTCTTTTAAGGTCTTCTACAAGCCCATGTCTGAATCAGGCCGTCTCACTGAGGCTGAAATGAACATGATATTTGTCAACTGGAGGGAGCTTATCCAGTGCAGCTCCAAGATGCACAAGTATGTGAGGTTAACTTGAAAAGATTTGTTCTTTTTCCAGTGTGCAGCGTGCACCATGCATGATGTGTGTATTGGCAGGGCCCTGAAGACGAGGAAAAATAGTGGAGGAGACAAAATGCCTGTTCACATGATCGGGGACATCCTGTCATCTGAGCTGTCACACATGCAGGCTTACATCCGCTTCTGCAGCTGCCAGCTGAACGGTGCCGCGCTGCTGCAACAGAGAACCGACCAGGAGCCGGACTTCAAAACTTTCCTTAAGGTAGCCACACATACTTCACTTGCAACGGCTAAAAAGACATAATGTTAAAATACACATAAAATATCCTGAAAATCTTCATTTAAAAACTTAATTTTGATTTTCCAGAGGCTATTATTCCAACTTAATAAAACCTCAATTTGAATTTTTGGTTAAAAAATGTACCTAGTTAATCTCAATTTAATTTTTTTTTCCCCCAGAAAATTGCAACAGACTACCGTTGTAAAGGAATGCCTTTGTCCAGCTTTTTACTCAAACCTATGCAACGAATCACTCGCTACCCTCTCCATATTAAAAATGTGAGTACGGTGAAAATATTGTTTTATTTTTCTACATCTCACAATTTAGATATTGATAGTGAAAGCAAATGATTAGTGTGTTTTTAACCAATACGTGTGTGTATTTGTGTCCAGATGTTGGAAAGTACTCCAGAGACTCATGTGGACTATATTCAGCTGCTAGAGGCTTTGGAGAAGGCAGAGCTGTTGTGCTCTCAGGTGAACGAGGGCGTCAGGGAGAAGGAGAACTCCGACAGGCTGGAGTGGATCCAGTCACATGTGCAGTGTGAAGGCATCATAGAGGTCAGAAAGCATGCCGTTTAGTCATGTGTCATTTGAAATGGTTACTATACCGTCCTTTTTTCTGATACAAGAAGACGCTGATGATTAAAACATGCTTTGCAAGATTGATCATAGCGTGACGTCTGAATATACACTACCATTCAAAAGTTTAGGGTCGGTAAGGTTTTTTTTATGATTTTGAGGATGTCTCGGCTGATTTTTACGGTGGCCGAGAAGGGTCACAACACATACAGTACAAACGCCACAACAACTACATATTCAGAAAACACATGCAAACGCCACAACGACTACATATTCAGTTTGTATGTGTTGTGACCCTTCTCGGCCACCGTAGATTTTCTTTGTACAGGACAAAAATGTAATGTTGTAAAATATTATTACTATTTAAAATAACTGTTTTCTGTTTTAGTATGTTTTAAAATGTTTATTCCTCTGGTGCAAATATGAACTTTCACGAGCCGTTACTCTGGTCTTCAGTGTCGCGTAATACGTCAGAAATAATTCTAATATTCTGATTTGATGCTCAAGAAACGTTTATTATTATTATCAACGTTAAAACAGTTCTGCTACTTAATATTTAAGTATAGTATTAAATAAAATAAAAGAATAACATAATAGAATTTTTGTAACATTTTGTAAATCTCTTTACACTCACTTTTAGTAATTTTATAAAATCCTTTCTGAATAAATAATTTCTTTGAAAAAATAATAATAATTATCTTACTGACCTAGACCTTTGAATGGTAGTGTAAAATAATCTGAGGGCTGATTAGCTGAAAGACTTTGGCTTAGATTTTCATATATAATGCTTTGAAGGTAGAAGTAGATTTCTTACTTTTCTCTTTTCTGTGACTTGTCTAGAATCTGACCTTCAACTCTCTAACCAACTGCCTGGGTCCTCGTAAATTGCTGCACAGCGGGAAGGTGTTTAAGACCAAGAGCAATAAGGAGTTATACGCCTTTCTGTTCAATGACTTTCTGCTGTTTACTCAAGCTGTCAGGCAGTTCACATCCTCAGGAACGGACAAGCTCTTCAGCCCCAAATCCAACACTCAGTACAAGATGTATAAGATGGTAGGGTTCTACTCCTCCCTATAGAGTAGTATTCTTTTTATTGTCACACTCTACAACCCACTCAGGTTGCAACCCACCATTTGAGGAACACTGGCTTAATGTGTATATTTGTGTTCCCAGCCTGTGTTTCTCAATGAAGTTCTGGTGAAGCTTCCGTCAGATCCGTCCAGTGATGAGCCCGTCTTCCACATTTCCCACATAGATCGTGTGTACACACTGAAGACCGAGAACATTAACGAGAGGTCAGTTTCAGCGTTCACTCTTTTTATCTGCCTTATCAGCAATCCACTATTTACTGCATACATGGGATGTTCTATAAACCTTTCGTGGAATGTTGTTATCGGCACACTGTACGAGAAGGGGGGGGAACAACCACCTATCTTACTACTAAATTACTGAATTATTGAAATTATGCAAATTATTGAATCTGCTTTCTAGGAAACTATAAATGCATATATAGTTTTCATTATGCCACAAAATGTTTTAACATCTGCCTAATATCCTGCTAGGACTGCATGGGTTCAGAAGATCAAAACGGCATCAGAAGGATTCCTTGAGACGGAGAAGAAAAAACGGGAAAAGGCTTATCAGTGTAAAAACAATTTTTGGGAACATTAAATATAACTACTCGCTTACTAACACACCCATCCAAAGGTTTGGAGAAAGTAATGTTCTTTTTAAGGAAATAAATACTACCAAATTATGCAATAAATTGGTCAAAAGTGACAGTAAAGATATTTTGACCTTCCTATTCATCCTTTAAATAAGGTTTCGTGGTTTCTTCCACAAAAATATTTTGCTGCACATTTGTTTTGAGTATTGATGATAATAATAAGAAATGTTTCTTGAGCACCAAATCAGCCGATTAGATTAGATTAGATTTCTGTTGGAAAGTAATGGCTGCTGAAAATTCAGCTTTGCCTTCACAAGAATAAATAACATTTTAAGATGTTTTACATAGATTGCATATTTAAATTTAAGATAAATTACATATTATCAAATAGAAATATTCTTTAAAGTATATGATTTTTTTTTCACAATATTACTGTTTTTTTTTTGTTTGTTTTTTACTGTGTTTTTGATCAAATAATGCAGCCTTGGTGAGTGTGAGACTTCTTTCAAAAACTTTTTTTTTTTTTTTTTTTTTTTTTACGGTTGTGTATGTCATGCTCTTTAATGTAAACAATAATTACAACAGGTTTGCCCAAGTTCATGTTTTTATATTTTTTACAGCTCGATCAATGAAGGCAAGTGGAATTGGTCGCCTGCTTGTCACTGTCTTGGAGGCAACAGAGCTAAAATCCTCCAAACCAAATGGTGATTTCATTAAAAAAAAAAAAATAAATATATATATAGATATTCTAAATATATGCATTAATGTTCCATAACATCTTATAGTATATTAATCTTTTTTTTCCCTTTTAGGAAAGAGTAATTCATATTGTGAAGTGACCATGGGTTCTCAGGGCTTCACTTCCCGGACCATTAATGACACTCCCAACCCCAAGTGGAACTTCAATTGTCAGTTTCACATTAAAGATCTGTATCAAGATGTCCTTTGCATTACGATATATGAGAGGGAGCAATTTTTACCAGATGGTCAGTATAAAAATAGCAAGTATAAGACTTCTCTCTTGATATTTTAACATGTATAATTACAATTTTCCTAAACTGTCATTTCTCCCTCTATAGACTTCTTAGGTCGCACTGAAGTACCTGTAGCCACTATTAAGAAAGAGCTTGAGAATAAAGGTCCGTCCACCAGGAGGCTGCTTCTTCACGAAGTTCCCACTGGAGAGGTTTGGGTTCGGCTTGACCTGCAGCTGTTTGAACACAAAGCCCCCAAATGACCAGAGAAAATAACCCTTCAAAATGGCATTTCAAGCACAGTGTCTCACTACTAACTCGAGATCTTCAAGTCTTTTGCCTTAAGATGCTCTCTACTTCTGTGGAAAATACTAATGAATATGTTATGATGGGGAAGACAAGTTAGCCTTCAAAACTTTGCCAAGTTTAGCTTTTTATCAAGTGACAGGAATGAAAAGGAAAATTTGGGGATTTTTGTTTATTTGTTTGTTTTATTGCCTAAATAATTACCACTGGATGCAGAGATATCTCAGGACCTATATTTTGCTTCAAATATACTGTCTTTTATTGCTGTATTGAAAGCTATATTTGTTATAATCGTATTTTGCCTAGATCTGAAGTTAATGAGAACTTTTTTAACTTGAATTTTCTCATCAGAAACGCTTAACCAGGTGGTGTTGTTTTAATTCATTATCTGTCTATCTTACCTGCCAATTCTTCCATTTAACTTCACCGTTATATAATTCATTTGCACCAGAAAATTGATCCTCTTCTAAGTCTTATAAAAGCTTATCTGTCTGTGTAACAAGAAAGGAACTTATTTTGCAGAGCTTACTAGTTTTTAATTTACGAAGGTACAAATGAGGTGATTAACAAGGGATGATCGGTTAAAGTTCTAATAACTTTTGATTTTTGTGTGCTTGACTGAGTTTTATTTATGTTAATTTATGCGTCTTGGACTATCTGCACATTTTACGCTGCCCAGTTTATCTGGATTGCCATAAAGCATTCAGATATGGTCTTAATATTGTATATTTTTGCTGAGTTGAAGTAGTATGAATGTTCATTAAAGAGACTGAGTCACTGAGTTTGTCTTTTAGGTTTAAATATACATGTAATAAAGTTTTTTTTTTGAATATTCTGCAAATGTTTGTTTTTCCCCACACTAGTATTGTATGAAAGGCCTCTAAGCACAAATATGCCAAAAAAAAAAAAAAAAAAATCAGGTTTCAGATGCAAATAAAATAATTTTAAATGTTGTAAAGAATACTGGGTGATTTTGTTCAAAGCAAATGAAATATTTTACCAACTAAGTTAGTTTATTTTTTTTTTTAATTATATAAAATACATATTAAAACGCCAACTCATGAATATTAATTAGGTATCGCAAATGTTTCTTCGTAACCTTGGAGCCTCTGTTCATATTCATGAGTCAGACGGTTGTTCAGGGTGCCCGAACCGGAGAGTTTTCGACATATTTCTAACAAACATTTTGAATACTGTTGAAGTAATTTGAATATGAACCCATTTTCAAAGTTATTAGAAGAGGGACTCATTAACACGAAACATGTAGAGGGCGCAGTGATACTTGTGGCTAATACAGGCGACGTAACGGCTGCGTCCAATTTTACAGTAAGTTTACTGCAAGTCTGGGCATTCCTAACAGATAAACAGATGTTATTTGAATTTTTATCTCTAATATTTGTTAAGGTTTGTCCAGAACAAGTACAGATGTTGATAGACTCGTTCAAACACTTGGATGTAACAAGGCAGAGAGGACTCCATTTCAGGAACAAGTTCTACACCTGCGTGCGTGCTGACAAACACTCGATATATACTAAATGTGTAAGTAACACACTAACTTATATCTACATGTTGAATTACCTGCTCATATATATATATATATATATATATATATATATATATATATATATATATATATATAAACAAGTAACGTTACATTTAAAATAACACTTGTTTGTGGGTTGCTGTCTCCCCACACTTACAGGTTCAGTTTCACTTTTTTTTTACAACCCTCAAAAAGCATAAAAGTAACGTTAACTTTAATTTGGAAATTTAAAAGGTAACGTTAGGTTATATATAGCCTACCTCTTTAATTTCCAAATTAAAGTGACTTTTATGCGTTATAAGTAAATTACAGAAAATGCTCAATGCACCTTAATGCGCATGCGTAAAACCTCCTAAAGCTCACTTTATGATACAGACGGAAAAAGACAGTCAAATTCTCATATTATGCTTCTGGCAGGATCATTTTATTTAGCAAACTATCTCACCAATCACTGATGCATCCAGGTCGCACTCAATCATGTTTGGTCTACAAAACAATTCATGTCATTGACCCATAAGTGCAGATAAATTGTATATAACCACATCATCACTTTTTCGTTCACTGATTTTTCTTTATTTTCTTTGTTTAGGAAGGACATGGTCTGATATTGGTGAGAACTGCACTGTATGTGATTGTTGCTACATACTCACAGAGCATGTATCCAAGTATCTGTGTGGAAGCAGTTGAGAAACTAGGTAAGCTAAAATTATAAAGCATAAGTAACTTTTCTGCTTTGATTAAATGTTTTACTCATAGTTTCTGCATGTATTTTAGCCGAGTATCTGCGTGAAAAGGGAAAATGAAGCTCATCGTATCAGATCTGAAGAGGCGAAGAAGCTGTTCAATGTGATCGTAGAAAGTACTGACGAGAAACTAGAAACTGTACTCAATCCGTTAGCTACAGGAACACCAAGGTAGGTTTTAGTACTGCATAGACAAACAAAGAAGCTATTTTTATTCTTGTAGTGGGATTTTAATTTACATCTTGAGATTTGGCATCTTAAAATATAAACACAACAGTAGTTTTACATCTCAATACAGCACATAATGACACACAAACTGAACTGCCACAACTTAGGCAACAAGATCTTTCACAGAAAGAATATAAAACTCTATAGTGAGGGGAAAAAAACAATATTAAATTAAGGTTATGCTGTTACCATTCATATGAGCAGAAAACATGGGATGGGAACCATAGTCTTAAATTATTCATCTATTTTTTGTTTAGAATAAGACATCTCAATGAACTGAATTTAAATATTGTAAGACAGGTAGAGAGAGAGAGAACATCTACAATGTTTGACCTGATCATTCACAGTGTTGAAGTTTGTAGCAGTCATCTGTCATTATAATAAGTCTGTATCGCATTGCATTTTCATGTTGCACACATCTATATCATATTATCTTATTTCCTTTGCAGAACAATAACACATGATTTACGTTAAAATATATAGTTCTTTTAAAGCCCCCTCATCATTCATGCGTCACATCAGTGCTTATTTAATGTGCTCCTTGATAACCTTGGTAAATCACTGATTATCCATACACTTATGTTAAATAAAAGTTGGCGCAACAACTAGTGGGAGCTTGTAGTCCTTTTTCATATTACACAACACCCTTGTTCTTTCACTAGAGACATATAATATATTCTATTATACAGTGCTTTCATAACACACAATCCATTTCATCCTTTAATAACACAGAAATAATACATACCATTGGGTAGAGGTGTTGTTGTTGGTAGAATATAAAGATGATTACAAACAATTAAATAAAATTAACATAAGATACTAGGATGCACCATGAATCTGGATATTTTGTTTTCTTAATTGTTGAAATAAGCTATATATATAAAAAAAAAGTCTCAGGTGTGTAATTTTATTTTATGAAAATGATTAATATGATATTAATAAGGAGGTATTGATACAGATAGGAAATACTTAATGACCTGAGAGTTTTTTGCATTGATGTTTGCTTTTGTGTAGTTTCTTTTTCTTGTGTAGTTTCTTTTTCTTTAACATGCAAATGGGTATGATGTTTGACAAAATACATTTTTGCATGATTCATTTCTGCTGGTCAGAGATATGTATTTTAAATAAAATACACACAAATAATAAGGAATGCAAAATTATTATATAATAATAAACAATTATGTTTGGAAAAACGTAAAGTGTGTGTGGTAAGAAATTATCCAAGATGACACAATTAAGTAATAACCACTTGCATATGTTTTGTTCTTAAGGTCATAAATTAATTTAGATGTCAAAGAAAATGCAAAAACCAACATAGTTGATTATTATTATTATTGTTTTGAAAGGTCACTTAAAGTTTCAAAAGAATCTCTTATGAAAATTCTATAACACCTGAGATATACAGTACTAGCTGGCTTTATACCTACATCTGAGTTTATCTATTGTTTTTATTTTTAGGAAACTTGTATTTCTCTCAGGCCACGTTTACACAAAGCCGGGTATTTAGCAAAACGAATATTTTCCCCCTCTCCGTTTTCAAAAATAACATCGTTCACACACCCGCATAAATACGCCATCGAGCGCCATCATAACTATGTCAAACCTATTGGCGGCAACATAGGAGTTAAGGATAAAGCCATGCAAGCCAATCAGAATCCTCAGAATCGACAAGAGAGAACCTAAAACGCTGTTTTTACCAGTTCACACGGCAACACATAACCGGCTTTTTCAGAAATCTCCACTTTGCCCGGAGTTTTTAGAAATAATAGTTTTCAGTGATAAAAATGGCGTTTTCGTGTAAATGAGAGGGCAAAACGCAGAGAAATATCTGCGTTTTCCCATCGTGTAAACTGGGCCTCAGTATGTTTTATGACATGCTCAAAAACATTTTATACTATGTACTAAAATAATTGTATTCCCTTATACATCTTTACAACCTTGGACCAAGCCAATGGAAAACTTGGTTATGAATAATGCGTTTGGCACTTTAAAATATCAGTACCATCATCAATAAACGAATTCCCTAATATGAGCTGCGTGATATGCTACCGGATTTAGCCTATTGGCAGTTAAACAAAACATTAAAACACACAGAAATGTTAAATGTTTGTTAAAAGAGTAAAATAATAATAAAGGAACAGGCAGAGGGCGGCATGCGGTCTGCAAAGTGCTAAGTTGCTTGTGCGTAGAGTAATACCTATGGCAGTGCAGCGAGAGTAGCCTGGATGCCAGCCCGAACCCCGCCCACAACATTTTTTGGTCGGGAAGTTCGGTCTGGACTCGATCTATTGAGGAGTAATTGTGATCGGTTCAGAAATCGTCAGGCCAATCAAATTGCCAGGGTGGGCTTTATACGAAGATGGACGGATGATCTGCAGTTACGTAATCATTACGTTATCAAAGAGCGATTGGGTTGAACAGGTTTCCCTCAAAGGTGACTGCACCTGGAGAACTGAGATTCCGCTATTGCGTCTTTTGTAAAAGAAATCGACAGCGCATTAATAAAAGACGAACAGAGAACTGCAATCAAGGCATTTGTCAATCGGAAAGATGTGTTTGCCGTCCTTCCTACGGAATTCGTAGGAAGGCTCCGATGGTCACTAAGAAGATGGGACGCAATGAAAACCCTGTGGTCGTTGTGGTTTCTCCTTTGGTCGCACTCATGGAGGACCAAGTAAAAGAAGCAACACTCATTATTTTACTCCTCCTTCCAGCGTGTGTGCAGTTGAGTTCATACGTCACTTACTGCGTTGCTCTGATTGGTTGTAGGTCTATCCAATTGAGTGCAGAATTTGTTTTTGTTTTTTGCTGGTTCGGTTAAGACACAGTAGTATCAGACTCACATTCTGACTAGAAGAATACGAGTATGACAAAGTCAGGCTAGCGTTAGGTGATGTTCGCTTTATGTCCTTTTAGCTGCTCTCAGAATGTTTCTCTTGCTTTTCTACCTCTGGTAACTGCTCTCTCCAGAAGGTGAACTGGCTAAAGGTGTCTGAACAGGGAAAGTCGGTGGTGTTCCCTCTGATCAGAAGAGGGAAGACATGATCTACGACCTCACATAGACGGCCATAGCTGTAAAACAAGAATATTAGGACAGTCAAACCCTCAACTAAAACATCCAGATGCATTTCAATGAGAATATGGAACGGAATATGAGTTTAATTATCATAAAAAATAATGTCAGAAGACTCATTGGTTCTTCCGGGAGTTCAAACTTGCTTTGTAACAGACGAGAATGGACTTTATTGGTTCTCGCACGTCAAGCAAGCATGCTTGAACTTCTGTTTGCCAAAACTGCTAATATGTGCATTGATGTATGTTTATATATGATTAAAATCCTAAATTAAATCTGTTCATCATAGAAAGCCATCGCATCTCTTTTGGACTAAATCACTTAATTCAGATGGGTTAGTTTTATGAACTCTTTATGAACTTTTGGAAGCGGTAGTTGCATGGACTGTCAATGGAGAGACATAAATATCTCAGATTTCATTCAAATATCTTAATTTGTTTCGAACATGAATAAAAGTCTTACAGGTTTGGAACGACATTATGGCAAGTAAATCATTTTTAGGTGAAGTAACCCTTTAATTGTCATAAAATTGCCCCAGTGCAAAATAAATCAATCCCAGAACAGGGTTAGCTTTAATGCACAATTCATAATTTGTCTTTAAAAATGAGAAAATAAATGTTTTCATTAGATCACTTACGATGATATGTTGGTCTTTGCGTGTTCTTGGATGAGCTCTCCCTTAGGATTCACAGTGAATATTCTGTTCAAAGGCACTCCCACCTCTTTATATGAATAAACATCCTAGAGAGAAGAACATTCCTTAGGGATTTGCATACTAATAGCAAATGAAGGTAATGTTAGCAAACATTGCTACTTGTGCTTACTGTTGCCCTGTTTCCAAAAGCAGCATAGAAGGGTTCTGTGTTTGGATAGAACAGATTTTTTATATCGGTCAGACATTCGATTTTAAACTTTTCTGGCTTCTTCTCAATGACCTCCCTGAGATTGAAAGAATAGACATCAGTTACGACGTGGCATCATCATTATTTTTTAAAACATATATATGTTTTGTGTGTGTACCAACCTGTGAAATGCAGAGAACAGACTACTAGGACTAAGCAGCACAGGTCCCAAGGGTAGCATAGTGCCTCTTTCATTAACCCAGTGCAGGTAACCTCGGGTCATGTCAGCCATGCCAATAGCCCGAGCTGAACAGTACATAAATTTGTAGCCGTTCCTGTTTGACAATGAGTTTTAGATATATTAGACATTAGACAAAATCTTTTTGCTCACATTTGATAGATGCTCTGTATGTGGTGTGCGACTCACTGGCTGACTTTGTGGTAGAGTCGGGCGATACCCTGATGGGTCCAGTCTTTACCCAGAGTTGGTAATATGTGTCCCAGGGTATCAGACCTGAAATTTAGACTGCATCAATTTAGACTGCATGCTTTATATTTTGCATTATTTTTCCCCAGGAAGTTTACTTGAGGTGTCTGACCTTGTGATGGTGCCATCAATATCTGAAATCACTATCTTGTCATCCCAGTTCCACAGATAAATGGTACCCTCACAGCGGCAGGTGCCCTGGTATTGGGTAGTCACGCTGAAGACCACATCATTGGGGCCATCTTTTAAGTGCAGACTGGCCTGAGAAAAGAAGAACATGCTTGTAGCATGGTTTTCATAACATACTGTAGTCTCTGATTGACTTTACTTATGCTTACGAGCTGTTCTGGGGACAAGCGAAGAGTCTTCCTGTAGCAATGGCCAGAGCTGTGGGTAACTTCAGGCTGTTTGCTCCCAGTGTTCTGTTTAGCACTTCCACTGTCATCTTCACTGGATGATGATTCATCCTTTAATCTAGTACAAAATACCACCAGCCAGTCCACAGTTAAAACTATATACTACATTTATACTATAAAATGCATTTATGATTGAATTTTGATTGATATATGACCTGATTTCATAGTTTCTGTGTGTAGAAAACTGTACCCAAAACTAATTCTCATTCAGTCTGTTTAGTTCTAAAGGCCTGAGAGTCGGTGTAAAATTTTAAACTAATCGCAACTTTTTCGATGCCAGACCTTGATTAAAGGCCTGAACATTTCATACCCAACAAAAGTGCATATCCAACATGATTTATTAGCAAGAACAATGTTCTGGTTTTCTAAATGTACCTGCTCACAGTTCCTGTTCTTATAGACTCCTCTCCACCTTCAATCTGGTCTGATGCTGATTCCTATTGTAGAAAGATTCACAGATTTGTATGCTTTTATAACATACATAATACAGTATTTGCAAAAGTAGTCAAAATGTCTTTGTATAAATCTGCAACACTTTACCTTTAATTCAATTCACAATTATTTCCCATATGCAATTTTGCAAACATACCGATTTGGAGCTGTCGTTTCTGCCCCGCCATGAGAACCACCAGCGTCCTCCTTTCTTGGGCATCTTCTCCTTCATGATGTTCTCTACTGTGGCCTGGAGTAAATGCACAGAGCCCCTGATACTCAAAACTCAAAAACTAAATGACAGGATGACTGTGACTGAACACATGCAGCTAATAAATAAACACAAATTCACACAGACATACAGGACTAGAGCCGAACACGCTAGGAAAACAGTATGTGAAGAAACCAAGAGCAGAGTAGACGTAACTCAGACAGGAATACTTAGTGCAATGGTGCACAATGGGATGGTATGAGGGGAGATCAATTAAGAAGAAGAAGAAAAACAAGGAGGGGGGAAGAGACAAAATTTAAATGCCCTGGAGTGCTATGAGAGCTGGGGTGCAATATACACAAGGACTTTAAAAAGCCATGAAACACTTGCCGAGAGCAGACAAACAATACAGAAACAAAACAATATCTTTCTACCACTGGGATGTATTTCATCATTTACTTAAGCAATCCAATAATTGGGTCAGTAATAAGTTAGTGCAAACCTTTCAATTAAAACTGTAGTCTTATTATTATTTGTATATGCAGGGCAAAGATGAACATTTCGTTTGTTGTAAAGAACCTAAAGGGGGAAACATAATCCAATAAGTCTGATATCGGATTGACTACAAGATTCTGTTATTTGTCAATAAAGCTCTCAACAATTTAGCTCTTAAATGTTTTTCCGATCTTCCAGATCCCAAAATAGTCATCTTTTGTTGGTACCACAGCTTGCTTCTACATCACCCGAATTTAAACCCATGTTAAATATACATATTTATACAAAGTCTTTGCTTTTATTTTTTTTTTACTTTATGTACTGCACTTTGGCCAACTAAGGTTTATTTTAAACATGCTTTTTAAATAAAACTGATTTTAATTAAACTGAACTGAATTGAATGATACCAAGTATGTTTTACTGATAGAACTAAAGTTAACTGTATACATACAGTGTACTGTATATATATATATATCACCAATAAACAAATGTTTGAGTTTGCTATTAACAATCCTAAATGATAAGCTTTATTTAAACTACTGTGAGGTTACATTATCAGTGTTGGATGAATAACTAAAGCCTTTCTGTACATATTTGTGCTGTTTATGCTGTCCTTACCTTTGGCAAGGGTTTCTGAAAAACCTGCACAGCCAGTACGATAGGAGCAGCTGTGGTCCAGTTATAATACCTTTGTGAGGAGAACAAGACATGAATTAATTAATGGATGTATTAAATGTACTTACCTTGTAATTTGACAATATTTTAGTAAATTACATCATGCTATATGCTACATGTTGTTATGTCACAAATTACATACTTAGTTCCAATCTTTACAACCAGGTTGGGATCATCAATGATAGATGGATTATCTGCAAACTCCTGATAAGATATTGCTCGTTCCTCAAATTCCTCTGTGAATGAAAGATTGTGAATTTAATTGCTGAATTACTTCCCCAGCTAATAAAATCTAGAAGAAAACAGGATATTAATACTAGTCTATGGAATTACAGAACAGCAACTAAAAATACATTACTTTACATTTGAAAAGTTTGGGGTCAGAAAGGTTTTTTTAAAGTGATTAATACTTTTATTCAGCAAGGATGCATTAAATTGATCAAAGGTGATAGCACAGACAATTGACATCAAAAACTATTTAAATTAATGTTTTTACTGCATTTTTGATCAAATATCTTTGGTGATCTGTCAAAAATGTAAAAAACAAATCTTACTGACCCCAACCTTTTGAATGGTACTGTACTGTTGATCACAACTCCTCCTTATACCTCTAGTGATCTCTCTGTTTTCTGACAGTCCTCCACATAGAGAGATGGCAATATGAGGCAGGTCTCCTAACTGGTCAGAAAAGCTGTCCACCCCACTGTCCATCCCACTGCTGCCCACTGACTGAGGGGACTGATTTGCACTTCTCAGATCTGCTCCACCCTTCACAGAAGTTGTTCCATCACTGAACAACAACAAATTTGATTAAAGAAAGATACTTACACTACACTTGGATCATAAATGAACAAGTGAATGGCTAAAAGGCTCTATGTACACTCTTGATATTTGTAAAAATTACCTCTTTGGAAAGTACAGGGCAGCCACCTCAGGCTCCAACTCTGTAATGTCATCCAGGTATATTCCATCTGATCCCAAGTGCCGGCTCCTTTTGTCTAGGAATTGATGTATTGTGACATTATATTTTATGTTTTACATAGCCAAAAAGTGTTTGTCTTTGTACCATTGTGACATTTATTTTCAGAACTCATATTTAATGTCATATGACAGATCAATTAAATTAATACAATTATATAGATGTATACACATACACGCACACATACCTTTTTTCTTGGATGGAGAGTCCATCTTGCTAATGGCATGAGCCCCAGGACTGTGACACCCCTGCATTAGGTCAGTGATAAGATGGGCGGCTGCACTGGTGGCCTCTACATCTACAGCAGGGGGAGATGTTGCCTCTCCAGCCCTGAGATCAGGCACATACACATCAATGCTATGAGACTTTCCATCCCCAGTGATGGCTCTGAAGTGCGTGCTTTCAGATGGTGGGATCGATCTTGGGTTCACCACCATGGGCTCTGACAGGGGCTGAAGGAATGAAGGCTGTGTGAAAAGAAAGATGTACAGTTAACTAATTCTGATTTATTAATTTGTTGTGGTCATGTGACATGGCAGATTATTACTGTACCTTGGCAGCATGAGGTAGCTCTCCCCATGTCCACAACATCTCAGGGTTGTCCAGTTTCCCTTTACCCCTCTGACTGTCTAGCAACTCTGAATCACTCTTGGGTGTAGATGGCAGGGAGCTATTTGGACTGTTGTAGGGAGGAATGAGAAATGGAGACGTTTAGCAATATTTGGATTAATTGTAGCTTTGTATTAATACAGCTGTTGTGAAATAAACTAGTAGCCTTTTCATTCCTCTGCAAAATTGAATTTCATGTTTGACAAACAAAGCAAAAATCTTAAAATTGGGCAATAGTGAAACCTTATGGCTTTGTTGCAAGTTTATTTACATTACATGGTGAATGCAGCGGTTACCTGTGTGTGGACTGGAACATGGCTATATGTTGAGGGCAAGAAATGGATAATCCTGCATTGGTGGGAATGGGTAAAGAGCATGTCTTCTCCAACCCTGTACTGTGGGCCAGAAAACAAAGCTTTAGATTAAAATGTCCATTATTTTGAATCTCATATATAGAAAAAAGTATATATAAGCACAATACTATATAAGTCTGTTGTAGAATGAATACAGCTAAATGTATTAGCATGTTTGTGCAATATGATATACCATCAGTTTAATCATTGTACTGCAGCTGGGGAACAGTTTGCTGATGATTATCGACATACATTTTAATAAAGCCTTCAGTTCAGTCTCTGATACACTCAGCAATACAGCATGTGCTGAGGTTTGCTTTCATGTGGTGAGAAACAATTGAATTTTTGAAGACTGAATTTTCTGTGTTATAAAATATTCTGGCAAACACATTTTTCACATGTTTTTTTTTTTTTTTTTTTTTTGTCTGCCATCTCTTTCTATCTTTTCGCTGAATTGCTGGGACTTCAGTGTTCTTATAGATTATTTTGATCAATTGATTGCAAAAATGGAAAGTCTGGATTTATTTTAATGTTACAATCAGGAAGTATTCTGTTATTAGTCTGAGAGTGTGTCAAAGTAATGCCCATTTGGCAGTAATATACAGCAATAAGATAATATATGTATTTAGTTAAGCAGGTACAGTGGACATGTTAGGCAATGATTACAGCTTGTGATCATAATGATTACAAAATACGGATAATATTTTGAAATGCGTGCAATACTGTATTTTGCGATCAAGAATGGATTACAGACTGATAGACAGGGGTCTACAGTTAAAAGGCTCTTTTGATGTTGTATACTAGTTATGATAATTGTTTTTCTCTTTAGCAATGTATTAAATACATTTACTACAACTTTGCAACTTTGTAATCGTGCAATTTTGACTTTGTCATAATTGCGATGTGACCAGAACTTGGCTCCTTTTTGAAAAACACTGGTAAGAATACCTTTGAACACCAGTCCACTTTCCTTCAGACTGTGTGTATGTGCTGCTGGTTCCTTTCACCTGCTCAACAAACAGCTCATGTGACATGGCTCTGAAAACACATACAGTATAGATAAACATATTCAATAAGTATATATATACACCCACAAAAGGAAAGAGTAAGACATCGTAAACATTTAGATATTCCATGCACATAGACATACCAAGGGATAATCTGAAGTGATTGTCTTAAACAGGCTCATTCTTCCAGAAAGACAGAGAGCATTGTGGGGTTTCTAAAGAGCCAGTGTCTGGATCCAAACTGCTGCTTTACTGCGCAATACATTCCCTTCTGACTCTTTTGGCCTTGTGAACAGCGTTTTCTCAGTGGCCTTTACAGTCACTTTTTAAATTTATTTCTGGTGAAACAGATTCTTAGTAATGCAAGGCATGTGTAGTGGAACTTGCTTATTCAGATCGCAGAGATAAAATACATAATTTGTCATCCACTGGGAATGAAAGAAAGGAAAAGGATGTTTATATTGTTAAACTGATTTATATTGCAAATAATTTCTTTACTTGGAAATGTGTGGGTACATGCTAGATGGCCCAGCATTACAAAAGGACTCCCCTCGAGCTGGAGCCAGAACTGGCAGGGTTTCATGGATTTTGTGGAAAAACATTGGAGGGGCTGTTTGAGCCACTTGTTTACTTCAGCAATAGGACTGGCGACCGATTTTTCTCCACTTTGCCTCTCTCTCTCCAACTGGAATCATTCCCACATACTTGCAGAAAACAGATTATGCCACTATAATCACATGATTTGCAGTGATTTCAGATGGGTTAAGAGAAGGAGGATCTCTCAATACAGAACCATCTGTTTTGTCTTTAATGTGTGTGTCCTCTATGCTCTACAGGAAAATATATTAAGCTCCACAGCTCCTGCCAAGCATAACTCCAAAAAAGTGGGATTTAGATTCAATGCGAGATCTTGGCAAGAGCACTATCCCCATTTATCCACATATAATGAAAGTCAATGGTGACCAGAGGCTTTCAAGCTCCAAAAACACCACAATGCCATCCATCGCAGCTATCAAAACTCATAAACATCAGGGATTGGGTTTTGAGTGAGCTTGTTGAGTTTTAAGTGGACTCATTCACAAACATCACTCACTTCACAAGTTCACATATATTAAAATAGCATATTTTATAGAGAAGCCACAACAGTCAACAGGTTTGACATCAGTGATACCAAATTCCATTGACTTTTACATGTCTCTAAAACAATTGCAATATGGTAAATTTGAATATAGTAAGTCATATGGTCTGTGCTTGACAGCTCCTGCTGGTATGGAAAAGAACGGCATGGATATTCAAAATTTCTGCTTTTGTGTTCCATTGAAGAAAGAAATTCATACAAACTTAGAATGACATGAAACATTATGTGCGTAATGATAATACGTAATAATATTCATACTGTTTGTTCTAACCTACTGCCTGAAGCCTCTGCGTCATCATCAGAACTCATGTCGATAGTAAACATGTCCTCATCTTCTGAAAATTCTTCGTTGTCCTCTCGCTTCTTGCTGTCTACTTTAGATTTTCTCCTCCTCTTCCTCCTCTTCTTCATTATTGAACTGTCAACAGGGGCCTGCATGGGGCCTAGGGTTTGAATGGAGGTTTGAATGGAGGACTCAGAAAGACGGGACAAGCCTTTTCCCATTTGGGCCTGCATTAGGGCAGAGCCTTCTGAAATTATGGGTGATGTAGCCAAATGGGACGGCACCATCTCCTGTAGACAGAATAATAAATAGTATGAAATGTAGACATGCTTTAGGGAGTTTTTGCATTTTGAGGATTTTTTTTTTCCTTTTGAAAAAATATTCAAAGATTTGTTATTATTGGTTTTAAATAATGCTAAATATACAGTTCCATTACCAAAAGGTTAATATTAGACCTTGATAGGGTGTGTTGTAGAACATATGAACACAAATGTAGACTTTAGCCTTAAGATTTGGTTTGACCATGTCTGCTTAAATCCCAGGACCACAACACTGTGACCTTAATGCCAAGTAACAGATTACTGCATGTTTCAATAGAGATAACTCATGCACGTGCAACAGTTCAGAACCGTCTTTAAGTCATGGCTTCACAAGACATAAATGTCTTGTCACCTCTATGTATATAATGCTTTATACAATACAGATTGTTCCAAAGCAGCTTTACAGTGATAACAGGAAAATGATTCAATGATGCAAGAGTTCATTTCGGCTTTAAGCAGAAAATAGTGCCATTGTTTAGCTGAACTTAAGTCAGTTCACTTACTATTTTGAATATAAAACTCTTTACATTATATTACATTTCTAGAATATCGTCTCTTAGAATACTACACTAAAGCACCCAATGTATTAAATGTCCTTCTCTACAATTGTAACACTTGTATTTAAAACAGAATATCATATTTACATGAATTACTTTAGTCAGGAGTGTGTAGCATTTTCAAATTCCTGTGCATGCAATCCAGTTATAGCTCTCTGTTTGCTACTGGCTAGTCAAATGAAGCATAAACATATAAAAAGAGGGTTCCGGTAAATGGACAGTGATTCTAGTAATGAGGAAGCGGAAGACTAAGTCAGGAAGAAAACTAATATTACGCGCACAGAGCTTTTCTCAGCGCCAGCGGCCGGACAGTGTTTTAGGGCTTTTCTCCTGTGCGTTACTTTGCCCTTTAAATTGGCTGGCTTTTTCTTTTAAGCTTGGGAAGCAGAAAGATGGGTCCTGATTTAGACAGGAAAAGCTTGACCTTGGCAGAGAGGGTCTGTTCTAGAGCAAAGGGTACAAGCTCAGGAACAGAATGTGTGTGGCGGGATTGTTTCCCGTAAACAAGTTCAGATTTCAAGCTATGGTACTCAGGAAGAGACTTGCATACATCGTGTTACATTTCTTAGTGCACAACGACCCTTGGCCACTATAAAAACAACGCTATAGAGGATTTATTGTTTGGTACAGTTACTCACCTCACCACTTTCTGTTTCTGTGACAAAGAATGCCTCTCCATTTTCACCCAGTTTCATGTGTAAACTGACCGGCTCCCCATTTATCTCAATGTCAACCTGAGGAGAAAGGGAACAGGGAATGCTGTCACTATAATAAAGAGAATTTACAACACTAAGCCATGTGCAACAAAGCAATGACAATGCTAATTTTATCTCATCTTCAAACAACTGCCGTTCCTTTAAGCCCCCTTATGTCCATGGCTTTGATATATTTCTTGATATGTGACACCAGACGTTCTGGTTCTGGACATTGGACAGGATTACTATGTCTTAAATGGATAGTTCCCCTAAAAATTAAAATTCTCATGTCATTTACTCGCCCTTATGTCTTCTGAACACAAATTAAGATTTTTTTATATTCTCTCAGTACTTTTGTCCTTCCATTTAAAGTCGACACAATCAAGACATTTAGACATTGCAAAGTGCAAAAAGACAATGTAAAAGTAATCCATATGAATTAAACAGTTTAATTCAAGTCTTCTGGAGACTGGGTCACTTTATATGATGAATGGATTTAATTTAGGCTTATATTCACATATTAAAAAATGTATCACCACACATACATAAAGCCCATCAAATATGGTAAACCGAAGCCCAAACATGCTTGCTTGATGTGCAAGAACAAACCTCACTGGTTCTTGCAGAAGCTTGAATGAGCTTGAGTGAAGTGACAAATCTCATTGGGACAAACACACGCGATATTAAGGCATTATTCCACGACTTTTTAAAAGCACTTGGCGTTTGTTGTTTTTTTTTTGGGGGGAGCTTTAAGACTTAAAATATATTAAAAAAAAAAAAACTTCCATAAAGTTTTTTGGCTGAAATATCCCTTTGAGACACACAAGATGAATCAGAAAAAATAAAATATGAATGTCTTCCGCTGCTAGTGCTTACCACTTTCTCCCGTGAGCGCAGCACTCCCATCTTGCCGAAACGGACGTGAAAAGGCGAGCACTGCAGAGTGCCGTCGGGCTGACGCACCACAATGACATCAATACAGCCGGAAAGGGTGGCAGGGTTCAGGCCTCTGTACAGCTCCTTCACCTGCACAAAAACCTGACCGGCCAGCTGACCCACGTAGTTCATGGTCTTACTCTGAAACAGATAGATTTCAAGCTTTTAGAGAAGTATAAGGTGACTAAAGTGGACAGAGTGCACATGGTTGAAACCACTCAAAGCAGCACCATCTTACAATCTATTTATTTAGATTTTCTATTTATTTATAATCTAATAAAATGTGTTTATTGATTTAGTTTGTTTCAGCTTGTGGTACTCACTGAGAAAATAAATATGTAACAAACAAGTAGCCTACTTTATCCTTTTATCATTAAATCAAGCAATATACTGTATTTATCTCTGCACTTCAGCATTAAAATGAATGGCTTTTTGTGTGAAAGTGCACAGTTAACTCTGTAAAGGCAACTGTTATGTTGATGAGCCATCTCTGTGTTGAGAGAGTATGATAACATATTCAACATATCTACAATAAATAGTCTTCCACGATTGTGCTAATGTTTGCAGCTGCTGGGTTACATGAAAATAAAATAAAAAACCTGTAGAGCAAAAGCTTGCTGTCTTGCTTAACTCAAGCCAAGATCTCTTTGGAAATGTAGGTGAAAGGTAAAATATCATTGAACCACCAACTAAAGACTGCAAGTGACATTGCTCAAAAAAGGATTGCAAGTGGTGTTCCTTAAAGGGTTAGTTCACCCCAAAATGAAAATTCTGTCAGTAATTACTCACCCTCATGTTGTTCCAACCCCGTAAGACTTTTGTTCATCTTCGGAACACAAATTAAGATATTGTTGATTAAATCTGAGAGCTGGATCATTCCTCCATACACTTCTTAAGGGATCGAAACTGGCCGGCCCAAAAGTTATGAAAGACATTGTTAAAATATACAGCGTCGTCCAATAGTGAGCCTACTTGTAATGTGCAACACAGAAGCTTTGCGTAGTTTCACTATGTGAAATCTCACGGCCCACAACAGAACAGGAAGACAATGAAATGCTGAATAAAGTTGTAGTTTTTGTTATTTTTGGACCAAAATGTATTTTCGATTAACTAACTCACTGATGTCACATGGACTACTTTGATGATGTCTTTATTTTCATCATTGAATTTATTTATTACACTTTACACTTTATTTATCTTTTTAACGGAGGGACAGAAAGCTCTCGGACTAAATCTAAAATATCTTAAACTGTGTTCCGAAGATGAACGGAGGTCTTACGGGCTTGGGACGACATAAGGGTGAGTCATTAATGACATAATTTTCATTTTTGGCTGAACTAACCCTTTAAGCATTGCCAATGGTTTAATAATGCCTGGTTCTGACATGCTCTACCAACCCAGAAAACTACTGCCTCTCTCTAGACCACAACACACAATGTTTAAAGTAATTAGCTAACTGGACGTTTCTGCAATAAAAAAACTGTGTGCACTATTACAGTATGCAATTTAGGGCTTGTGTAGATCAGTCAAGACACAACAAGTTTCCACTGCATGAATGGGAAGATAAATCATTTTGTATGCAAGCTCTTCAGGGTTCTTCTCACGCTTACTGACCAATAATTTGTATGACTTGCCCATGTCATGACCTTTCCAGAAAGTTCATCATTACTGACAAAAGGATTTATTTAGAAATTATTTTGCACAGATTTCTGGATGAATTTTCATTTGTATATCAAGTGACAATTTTCTGAATTACCATATTTAGGACTGAAACAGAATGACCTTCAAAAGACAAACTGAAGCTGCCTGTGTTCAAATATTTCAAGCCAGTGAAATCTTTGAGGGAAACGCAAATCTAGAATGCATTTTCATTACAGACTTATCATGGCCTGAAAACCACACTTTTAGATTCCAAAATTTTTCTAGGCTTTCCTTGACTGTTAGAACTACAGCTCTTAGAAAAACCTGACAACCGTATTAACCCAAATTATTTGCCCCATTGATGTAACCCTGGGATTGTGCAAAAACCTTCAAGTAAGTCTTCATTGTTCATATACAACAAACTGATCCTTTACAAATAGACAGACACCACAGTCACATGGGACTGACATAGCTCTGATGGTTCTGCTGTTAGATACTGGTGCCAATAATAGCACAAGCATCCAAATTTACAGTGCATATGATAAGCATATGATGCTTAATGTAACACTAGAGCTATTGCATAATTGCCCATACCCAAAAACACTTGACTAATTTCAACAGATCAAAACAGAATATCCCTCCCTCTCCTCTCTCTCTCTCTCTCTCTCTCTCTCTCTCTCTCTCTCTCTCTCTCTCTTTATATATATATATATATATTATAGCAATATATATATTGCAATCACTACTAAATCATGAATAATAGAGAAATAACATTATAACATGCAGGTAAGCAGTGTACATACAAATGTTATATTTTTGTTGTTAATCGAAGTTAAATCATACAGAATGTGTTGTGTATAATCGTCTAGATAACTCCGTGATTGCTATGGAAAGCGAATGTCATTATAGCCAGATATCCAAAGAATGTAAACAATCATCCATTGTGCTATAAAAAGATGAGCCCTTTCACTGAGTATACAAATATAACCCAAACGAATGGATGCATTTATGTTAGATGATTATTATAAACAGGACGGAAATGAGAAGCAAGGCAAGGATGGAATTCTCTGTAACGTACATACGTGGGATGCGGCAGACGCGTTAGGATGTGACAGCCATTCAAATGCACTTAGTAGATCGTCGTACGCTGCTGAATCCGGTTGATGTTCGCTGCTCTTCGCCCATGTATTTTGACTCTGCCGTTTACACACTGTTCGCTGTTGTCTGTGTTGGCGTTGTATTTAAAGCTGGGTGGAAACTGCTTTCAGTGTGTAGCAGTCCCTGCCTCTGCAACTGACATCACAGTTAACCCTTTACCAATCTTCATCATTGCTAAATACGCGACGCGAAAAACAGCAAGAAGCTCCCGTCTACAGTTAATGAAGCGGTCGGTCTCTACCACTGTATCCAATGGTATGCGCGCGACGCGTCTCTCACATTTGTGGATGACGTCGTCGTCACCCAGTGAACCAATCAAACACTTTGTTTATACGACGCAACGCGACAAGAACGCGCAAGCGTCAAAGGGAATATTTTGTCTACTCTTTGTATTATTGTAATATTTGTTTTATTGTAATATTTTACATTTTAATTGTTTGTCTGGTTTATATTTAATTATAATTGCTTCCTGAATCTGCCATTAAAGTGGTGAAGTAATGCTGACAATGCACTGCATTTAATGCACGCGTTTAATGGATTTAACACGCACACAATCTGCTCACGTGGCAGCAGCAGCTGAACTGGCAATCAAACGTTTAACGTTACACTAGCGGTGTGTGCGTGTGTGTGTGTGTGTGTGTGTGTGTGTGTGTGTGTGTGTGTGTGTGTTGTCATCAATGAAAAGACATGCTGATGCGTGAGTGGTTGTTTTCGGATATTATTCCACCACCTTACATGCTGTCACAATAAATGGTTTTTAATTACAGGCATTTATGTCTCAAAGACACATCCTGCATACTGGTACAGTAATCACAAAATGATTAAGAAAACTTCACTTTTTAGTCATCATGGTGATTTAATTAATATTAATTTAAAATATAAGCGTTGTCTATTTGATTTGAAAAGTACACCATGGTACAGCAAGTGTATTAGATGGTAATGTATAATTTTGATACATTAACATCATAGGCTATACCATTGTACTTACATTGCTAAATGGTACCCTGAGGTAGCCTTATGCAAAGATTATGGCATTATAATCTAAAACACCATATTACCATGATATTTTATCTAAAACCATGGTAGTTTAAAATCTTAGAAGAAAAGTGGGGAACACTTTAGAGTACCGTTACAAGCGAATAACTAAACAGAAACAAATGAGTAATGCATTATGCATTAATACATTACTCTAGTAAGAAACTGATGAAAAAAAATCATTACATTTATATAGCGCTTTTCTCTGCACTCAAATCGCTTTACGTAAAGGGGGATCTCCTCAACCACCACAAATATGCAGCAACATACACCAATTAGCAAGTAATAATAGTCAACTGTGGTAGTTTATACATCATTAGTATATGTCATTATTAGTGGCAACCATTATCTTCACTTTAGAATGAATTATACATTATGCATTATTGACATTTAAATATGAACCTGTATGTAGTAGTCATCTGGGAGGCATGAAGAAAATAGTACTTACTGATGATTAGCTAATAGTGAACTACCTCATTCAACTGAGTGCTACTAATTTGTTAATCAGAGGTCATTGTTAGTTAATACTAGAATGTTAATGTTATTGCTGTGCTCATTTGTTCCTTTGTTATTCATTAATGACGGAACAGTATTCACTTTAGTAACGGAAAAGTGCAACACTTACTCTACAAACTTGATGTTATTTCTTTAAAAACAGCAATGTTTAAGCAAACAACCTAAAAAAAGTTTGCCTAAAGAAAGGACTGCCCACCTCTCCGACTACACAGCATTCTCTCAGCACTCTCTATTACATCAGGATTTTGTTGATCTCTCCATTGGATAACAAGCACACTGAGTTCATCCCAGAAATACTGGTGGTTTCCAAGAATAAGAGAATGAATGTGACTTAGAGGGTCTGGGGTCTGAGTAGTCCAAGGAGACTTCTAATGCACTGTGATTACTGAGTGCAGAAAAATATACTAAAGGAAGTTGTTGACATGGCGGCCAACATACTAATATATTTATATGAAATATTTCATACTATATTTTTATTTGTTTTGCTGTACTTTGCCAGTCATACTGTAATAACACTTTGTTCATGAAAAGATACAATATTCATTATATTTACAGTAGATGTAAATACTATATACTCTAAAACATTTTAGACCGCTCGTCTATAAGTTTAGCACGTGATTGATTGTGTAGTACAAAAAACAAAACAAAAAAACCTGTTCCTAGAAAACTCATGAATGCGTTCACGTGGAGGAAGGGGGAGTCACCTGGGATGGGCCATCTCCACCAATCAGAGAGGGGGCCTGTGACACAAGGCATGTGGGTTCATGTGTTGAATAAACTGCTGACCTTACTATTGTAGGAGGGAACACTAAGACTCTTCTGTGAAGTGGGGCCTGTTTTTCTGCATTAATCCATTGTATTTTTGACGTCCTGTGGCAGCACAGTATGTACCATACCATAGGCTGTAAAATAAGATCCTGCTCAGTTTGTATGAGGGATTGGGTTGTAAACAAGTGGAGGAAGTGTACAGAATATGATGCAGAACATTGTGCAGCAGATAGTGTGAATGTGCAAATTCATAGGTCAAAAACACTGTTTAATAATAAGGAATTAGGACTGTCACCTGCTTAAAAATGTAATCAAATTAAATACATGATTTATTGATTAATTATTCAAATTAATTTCTTTTTCTGAAAGCCAAAAGACTGCTAAATCATATTATATTTATACTATACTATTTATACTATTTATTATACTATTATTATACTATTATACTATTTTTATACTATTATACTACTTTTTTTTTTGTTGCCTATGTTTTTAATTAACAGTGTATAAAATGAGTTCAATTTATGGTAAAATACCGGCAGCTGTGCTTGCCAGATACGGTAGCAACATTTTACGGTAACAAGGTTTTACAGACTTAACTTTTAGCAGCATTTAATTATCTGAAGTCTTTTTAAATTATCAACCAATCAAATTATTAATATCTGTTTTGTACCACTGTAATACACTGACAACCAACAATCACAGCAGTGATGAGTCACATGATAAATGAAAGCTCATCACATGAAGCTCTTCTGGAAGATTCACTCAAACATTGAACACCATCATGGTAACACACATGACATTTTTAAAAAAGGCAATAAACATTAATTTAACAACATTAAATGTCACAAAAAACCCTAATGTATATACTTGATTAGAAAAAAGACTTAGCAAACTATGAAGAAACAAGTTATTTCAACAAAAATACATCAAATGTGAAGTGTCACGCAGGGAATTGTGGAGATGACAATTTACATTTTTTTTCCACTGTGAATTATACAATGAGTTGTTCATTTTCACTTTAAAAAATGTAAATTTAACCGTATTAAGATTTTGTTAATTCTAGGTCTAAAAAAAGCACACATGTTTGGCTACCTCAGGTTTTCCTGGATATATGAGAATGTGGGAACCCTGATTTCTCAATAGGAAACATATAGCTGTTGGGGTTATTTAGGGGGGATGATGGGGGTGAACCACTGGAATTTTTGTTTTAGCAGGAGCAAGTTGAAGTTGAAGGGAACATGAGTGCAGATATCATGTCTCTTCTTAAACCCTCACACCACACAGAGTGCAAAATTGGAAACCAAAGAACAGGCTTGGCTGGAAGTTCATGCTGATGTCTGTTTATAGTCAATCAAGCTAAATGCCTTATGCCTTGCCTTGTTCAATAAAACAGCAAAACAGTTTCTCTTGCCTCAGCACAAGCAGGCTCTTGCTCAGTGGTATTGAGCTTTACAGTTATTTCAGTCTTGATGTAGCACTGGCCATATTTAACTTCAAATGCATGTCTTAAAAGGGGGTTGAATTAAATGAATCATTATAAACCAGCATCTGTTGTTGCATCAACCTTGCATAATTGAGGTTACTTCTGAATTCATGATTTTTTTTTCAGAAAATGTAAAAAGTATTTCACTTGACACTGACAACCAAACATTGCACCGCAGAACATACAGTAACAATTGAAGGGCTCTTAAAGTCAGAGTCATTTATGAATCAACCATAATGACCACGGCAATGAATATACAACAACGTATAGCTCCTGACCTTCACTTGCTCCTGCTGAAGTTCAACACTTTGACTTATTGCCTGACTTTTAATTCAACCTCTGATGTTTCTTTTTTTACTTAAAGATAACATTGTACAGACATCCTATTAACACACACTTTGAAGAATGACATCCCTCAAAAGTTATGCAAACCCATGGTCTGTCTATTTGGAAATGCCAGTGTAACCTGACACTATGACGCACTCAATGCTCTTTGGTTCTTGGTCACATAACAGACTCCAAGCAGACACACTCACATGGTTTCCCTGTCGATGACCGTCCCCCATTCGTGCCAAACGGACATTTGATTCGCAAATGACAAAAACTCTAATTAGGCATCATAATATAATAAATATTTAAATTATTATATGAAGAGTTCAGATGCAAAAGCCTCTAAATGCCATTTGAAAGTTTCTTCTAAAATTATAATTTTTATCAAGCTTATATATTCAAGTTCAGTAATTTCACTTAAATGACAATTAATAGGTAATCCTCATTGCAATTTAACTGAAATTACTGAACTTAAATATACAAGCTTGATAAAAATGATCATTCTAGAAGAAAATTTCAAATGGCACTTAGAGGCTTTTGCATCTGAACTCTTCAAATGTTAAATTGTAGTCCTGTGCATTAAAACATATATCTCTAATACATGCATATTATACCGGTATGATCTTTTTTTGCAATATGCTGATGATTCATTCTTATAATGAGAACCTCATTTAAAAATAAGAACAATCACTGTATCAGAATAATCAAACAAGCCACAATCAACACAAAACTACTGAGAGTATAATCAATGAAGCCACACTAAAGAAAAGCTATTCAAAAAGCCGTTAAAGCTTTATATCCAATAAAGCAATTAAAGTAAATCTTTACAATAATATCATATTCAGACAGACATTGTTAAGTGTTTTAATCCATCATTCTTAATATTAAACTGACAAATCACTGTGTGTTACCCATGTCCAGCTCGTCTCATTTGGGCTGAATATCTCATCGTAGTCTTCAACTTGATCCTCTGCTATCATGATTCCATTATCCAATCGCTTATATGAAATAAGCCTTAATTATGAAGCTGAACCTAGTCCTTCCTTACGCAATGCTTGTGCTAACAACTGAGCAGTGAGCTATATACCGGGCTTAAAGGTGTTTTCGTATAC